GTTCAGTTGAGTTCAATGGGACTTACCCCAGGTGTGTATAGGATTGTAGCTTATGAGTAATTAATTTCATCTGTTCCTGGATAATTAAATTTTGGTTAGACGACCCTGCATGGATCAGCAGCTCTGATTACACTCAATACAGTGCAAACCTTTCCAGTACAAATAGATCTCCAATATCAACAAAAGGCAGGTGTTGCCATCTACTAACATGAGTTGTCTGGCTAATCACTACTTCAGCACCATGAACAGCAGTTGGATCCCAAAACCTGCTTAGGCTGACAGACAGGTTTGCCAGTTGCAGCAGAATCTATACTAAGAACAGCTCTTCCCCTAGCCATACCACAACCTGTTTTTTAAAACTCCCCTTCGTTTCAAAAGCAGTTCAGTTCACAGGAAGACTTATTTGTGTGTCCATGCATAAAGGGCTTAAAGTCCCTTTGAGCTCACAGAACTAGTTTCACAATTCTTCCAGTTGTGGACTATATTTTCAACAAGTGTTTAAATACCACTTATAGGGAAGGCAGGTCTAGAATAGAGGAGGAAAAGGAGAGCTGAGCTGAAATTTCTCAACCAACCACAAACGTACTTCACAAACAATATTAGGTTGTATCCAACTAAGTCAGGGCAAACCCAAGGAAATTGATGAACATTACTTAGGGGTTGTTCCTACGGCAAGACCTGCCAGGATAAGCCCCATAGGATGCAGAGGCTCTGAAGTTCAGCCAGACTCAGCCAGTGTTAAGTCCCCTGCCCCAGCTCAGCCAAAGATAAGGTAAAGGTAAAGGGACCCCTGACCATTAGGTCCAGTCGTGACCGACTCTGGGGCTGCGGCACTCATCTCGCTTTATTGGCCAAGGGAGCCGGCGTACAGCTTACGGGTCATGTGGCCAGCATGACTAAGCCACTTCTGGCAAACTAGAGCAGCGCACGGAAATGCAGGAGCGGTACCTATTTATCTACTTGCACTTCAACGTGCTTTCGAACTGCTAGGTTGGCAGGAGCAGGGACCAAAGCGACAGGAGCTCACCCCGTCACAGGTATTCGAACAACAGACCTTCTGATTGGCAAGTGCTAGGCTCTGTGGTTTAACCCACAGCGCCACCCGCATCCCCAGCTGAAGATGCACTCATGTAATTTACTCATCCAAGCTCAACCACCGGCTGAGCAGAAGTTGGTATAAGCCCCCCAAACAGGGTGTTTTGGGGGCATGGAGGGGGCGGGACCAAAGGAGGGGGAACTTAAGCTGGAGCCTGTTCAGCTCAATCATGTGACCTGGCAACTCACCACAGAACACTATTTTAAAGGCTTGTTCCCCTTCTGCCTGGCTAAGGAAAAGCTGAAAAGTGTTTGATCTGATGTAATTTAACGCCAGCTTAAATTACACTGCCTTGCTTCATGCTGGCTTCTTGTGCATAAGACTGCTTCCCTAAACTGCTGTCCACTGGCTTTACTGGGTCTACCCCAAATATGACTAAATTTGATGGATTCTATTACTTGAAGACTTTTGTTAAGACTCTCATCATTGATTTTAAATGGGCAAGAAATGACAATTATTGAAAAAGAGGTAACTGCATAGAAGTTTGGTTAGGCAGAATCAGGTTGCTACCCAATGGTAAGAAATGTTATTGAATCAAAAGAGGCACAGAGAACAGATAGTGTTGAAAATGACTATATTTAACTGGTTCTTTTCTTTACATTTTACAGCCCAGAACTCTAAGCTCCAATTTAAATGACTTAAAGCAGCACTGGTTCCAGTATTCTGAGGGGGGAGGAAGAATACTGCATCTGAACCATGTCCAATCTGAAGTAAATCCCATTGAATTCAATGGAGCCAACTACCAGGTAAGTGGTATTAGGATTGCACCCTTAGTTCCAACACTCCACAAAAGTTAAGCATCTATTCTTTTTTTAATATACACTCAAAGACTGTCCTGCAGTTATGTCAACACCATTAAGGGTCTTGCCATAGCATGTACCCATGTAAAAGAAAGAAATTGGCTAATCTGCTACCAATGAAGCACAATACAAATAACTACCACCATAATCACATCTACCTGAATTGCAGAATAAATGAGGCAGCTATGTATCTGATGTGAACCTCACGCATGATGAACTGCAATTCAAGAAGGTAATATGCTCACTTGTGTGTACAACATTTTCAAGCACATCTAATGATGTCAATCTACTACAGGCAATTTCCTACATTACTTACAAAAATAATTTCAAACACCTGCAGTCACCTCTCTGCTATGGTCTAAAATGAGATACTACCACCTAAAAATCTGAAATATACATTTTCCCCCCTAACTTTAAGAAACAATTGCATATAACAGCCACAAAAAATTACTTTGGGGTGGGGGGAGGAAATCATCATTCACATTTATTGGGGAATCCTGAAATTAGAAAACAGACTATTATTTGTGGGTGCCTGCAATATGATTTCTGTATGTACCTACTATATTATTATTAACATTCCAGTGAAAATAAAAAGAATTCATGTGTCTGCTATTTCTGGGACATGTGATACCTTAATCAACCACTGCAAGTTTACAGGGATTGATAAAGCTTTCAAATGCTGAGCTACAACACAGCACCTTTCAAAAAACAAGTTCTCCTTTCCTCTGCTTTTTCTTTGCAAGTCTGTGCTTTTTAGATACTGGTACATACATCTACATATGTCTTCTAAGTGTATCATAGGTGTCTGGGATAGCCTGCTGTTGGTTGTTGTTGACATCCATCTGTCTTGAGAGACAATGTAGTGTGCCTGCAGGGGGTGAAGTCAAACTGCTACATTAGCAGCACTGAAGTGACCACCCTGGAGCGCAAGCCTGGGAAGTGTGCATGGAGGTCTTGGGCTACCCAGACAACAAGTCACCCACACCCTCCACCTGGCTGATGTGGTCTGAAGGAAAGCAAGGCAATACATCTGTCACCAGCAGCAGTTGCCAGAAGGAGGCATACAAGGCACCATCCAACTGTCTAGGGATTGTTTACACCTTAGCCTTAGGGTTTACTCCTTATCCTTTTCTTTTGCTGAAGATATTCCATAAGGCAGCAGAGGTTTAGGATCAGAGCTTTCCTTCTCCTAAATGGGCTACCTTCCCAGGTTGACAAGCCCCATCTGCCCCTCACTTCTGTCCAGGAATAGCATAAGTGTCCAGGAGTAGCTTGTGTGGTACCCTTGGATGTTGCTGGACTCCAACTACAATCAGTCACAGTCAGCAAGGCCTGAGTGGTCAAGGATGCTGGAAAAACAGTATCTGAAGGACACAATGTTGACCATCCCTGCCCTAGACCATATTCAAAGAGTGAACAATTTGGGATAGCATGGAATGCTAAAGTTACTTCCTGGGTAAATCAGAACAACTCAGTATATGAGCATTTTGACTTAGATTATCAAACTTAATTCACATTGAGATCTCCCAGAAAAGTGATGAGAACTATAGCAAACAAAACACAAATATTATCTAACAAAGCAAGCAAAATATTACACATTGCCAGGGATGGAAGAAGGTGCAACAAGGGGAGGGGGGAGACACTTTACAATTAAGAGAGCAATCCTATAGCAAGATCTGCCAGGACAAGTGGGTTAGGATCCAGGGGATCTCCAGCTGGGCTATGCAAGATCACTCTCAGTTCAGCCAAGACTCTGCTGCCTGAGCTAAACCTGATGGATCGTAAACTGGCATAAGTCCTGAAAGGGGGTGCTGTGGGGTTGTGGTGGGATTAGGATGAGAGAGGTGAGACTTCAAGTTCACTATGACTAGGGACTGATCACTATGACTAGGGACCACCAACTAGAGTGACAACTCATTAGTATTTGAGTACTCTCTCATTCCACAATATCCAGGATATGTCATTGACAACATCTATTTTGAATGAGCAAATAAAAAGATCAACAGCTTCATAATTGTTGTGTGTGAAGTAAACAGCCATAGGGCACTTAAACAAAATACTGCAAGATCATAAATGAAATAAAACTATTGGAAGTAGAGACTTTCAGAGTCATAGACCATCTGCAAGGCAGACTCCTACACCTCTGGTTTTGTACTTTCATCATACCCATCAAAATGAGTCAAAATGGAACAATCTTGTTCACGTTTACAAAAAAAATACTAGAGCTTACTCCCAGGTAAATATACCTAGGACAGCAGCCTCAACAGTATGAATGTCCGAGGCTGCAATTTCATGTTCACTATCTTTTGGATGAGTTCCATTAAACAGAGTGGATTCTATTCGAAGTACACATGCACCTAATTAAACTGTTACTTCTGTAGCAGGGAGACTGTATCAGTCATTTGAGGGGGAAAGTGAAAAGCTCAACCACAAAGGAGGGACCAGACCAGTAGGACAGGAGATGCATACTTCTAATATCGCTAAACTGAATGAAAGATCATCCAAAGAGAGCAAGCAGCAATTCACAAGAAAAGGAATGCCCTGTGTGCTCTCTCACATGCAGATGGCAGCACTCTCTAGGTGAAGAAATGCATTTTGGACTTGAGGGTTGTGTAAGTCTACAGTATTAGATGATAATCTATAGCATTCCTGTGTGTACCCACAAGAAATTACCATACTCAAATGCTGTAAACTATCTTACATAAAATCTTCATTTGAACAAAGTTTTGTCTTAAAAAGTATTTCAGCCGTACAAACCTGGGGGAGGGGGGTAACAGGAGTTGTATATTATTATTATTATTATTATTATTATTATTATTATCTTTCCCCACCAAAAAAAAATTCCCATGGTAGATCTTTTCCCCTCAAAATATTCTGCCAGTTTTTTCCCCCAGGCTTACATCTACATCAAAAACAAGTTTACCAAGAATGCTCAAAAATGTCAGTTAACAATAGCACCCTGTTACTCATTGTTTTTAAATTGTCAACAAGGCAGCTTTGAGGAACAGGAGCGGTATTTTCCCAGCTATAGCAGGGGACTAGTACCTCTAGCTGGCCAGACAAGAGACATAAATTTTAGATCTTTGTTTTGTGAAGGTACTTACCTACTATCTGTATCCAGGCCTACAAAATCCTTTTTTTCAAAAGGAACACAGAGAAGTGGGATCTTATCTCCAGACTTATCTGTGGCTCTGTCAAGACGTTTGGATTCTAATACAATGAAGAGAGATTCAATGAAGTCTTCAATCCTCTTTTCTACATTTTCACATTCATCATAACTAGGATAAAATGCCACATCTGTACGAGGTTGCTCTGCAATTTCTCCTTGAAGCCCGAAGACAAATAGCCGAGAATCATAAAGTGTGGAGCCATATATTTCCTTCTGAAGGTGGAATTTTTCAAAGGTCTGAGGCCAGTCTTTTGCAGAGGAGCAGTCTGTGATGGTTATGAGTCCCACCACTTTGCGGTGCGTCTGAAAATCCCCCCATTCATTGTTCTCCGGTGGGTAATGATGTCTATAGCGGATGTAAAGGATGCGCTGAGAGTCGCGTACGTTGATCTGACTCACGGTTGAAATCCGCTTGTAGATCTTAAAAAAGCTCTCTTCAGGGACAATCCCAACTGGCTGGACCACAACTAGTAGAGTTTGATGGTCTTCTGCACACTGCATGTAGTCAGGGACACTCATTTTGCATCACCCGTATACTAATGAAACAAACAAACAAAAAATTCCTGTTAGATTGTTGCAGGAGTACCCATCATTTTAGAAATTACAAATAGATTAAGGATTAGCTCTATTCTTCAAATTCATGGTCAACTTCAGCTTTATTAAGTAAGTTATCAGATCCTAAGTAGCATAGCTGTCAACGTTTCCCTTTTTTTAAGGGAAATTCCCTTATTCCGAATAGGATTCCTCGAAAGAAAAGGGAAAGTTGACAGCTATGAAGTAGGCTATCACACATCACAGTGTGTTAATCTTTATTTATTCATTTATATCCCACCTTTTCTCCAAAAAGCTCAAGGTGACATAAATGTTTCTCCCCTGTCCTCATTTAATCCCCACAGTAGCCCTGAGATAGGTTAGGTTGAGAGGCAGGATTTGAACTGAGTGGGGATTTGAACCCAAGTCTCACAGGTCCTAGTTCAACACGCAAACCACTATACCACACTGGCTCCCAAACATAAATTTCTCACAGTATGCTTTGCTGCTTGTATAGAATGTTCAGATGCAGAAAGACACAGAATGTTCTATATACAAAGAAAGCCAGGAGCAGCCCCCAGGGTAAAGAAACTGCTGAGGCAAATTTTGGAGCCGTATAACTGGGAATATCTTAAATAAAGGAGATTCTTAAATAAATGGCAACCCAGCCAGATGGATGGGGTATAATAATAATAATAATAATAATAATAATAATAATAATAATACTGTGTCCAGTCTGCAGAAAGGAGAAAAGTGGTCAGAGGAGACACCTGAGTCTCTACTCCACGATTTCCCCAGCTGTTTTCAGACTACAACTCCCATCATCTCTCACCATTGGTCCTGTCTAGCTAGGGATGATAGGAGTTGTGGTCCAAAAACAGCTGAGGACCCAAGTTTGGGGAAACCTTGCTCTACACCAGGCTTCCGCAAATTTGGTCCTCCAGATGTTTTGAGACTACAGTTCCCATCATCCCTGACCACTGGTCCTGCTAGCTAGGGATCATGGGAGTTGTAGGCCAAGAACATCTGGAGGGCAGAGTTTGAGGAAGCCTGTGCTACACTAACATAGAGGGAATTTTGACTTGTCACCTAGGATAGAAGGGAAAGCTGCGCCCGCTGAAAATTCCCTCACTGACCCTGGGGTTTTTCTTTAGGGAGGAGTGGGGTGCAAAGCTGTCAACTTTCAGATTTGAAAATAAGGGATCAGCAGCCTCGAAAATAAGGGGACAGCAGCCTCACCTGTCCTGGGGACAGTCTATGGCAGTGTTCCCCAACCTTGGGCCTCCAGCTGTTTTTGGACCACAACTCCCATCATCCCTTGCTAGCAAGACCAGTGGTCAAGGATGATGGGAATTGTAGTCCAAAAACAGCTGGAGGCCCAAGGTTGGGGAACACTGGTCTATGGGATATCTAACAATCCGGGATAGCAGCGGGAAATGGCGCTGGAATAAGGGAATTTCCCACAAAAAAATGGGAAGGTTGACAGCTATGGCATTGGGTTGGGGGAGGGCATCTAAAACCATTGGAAGGCAAAGTTGGGAAGGGTCCCCAGGGGGTCATCTAGTCCAACCCCCCGCCTCCTAGCAGTGGAAAATAAAAATCCTTTTCCTCCTGTGCGGGGAGAGGCGGGCGTGGGGCGGTGAAGGAGATAAAGCAAGTCCCAGCCAGACATGAACGTTAGTGTGCGTATATATATATATATATATATATACACACACACACACATATATATGAAAGGATTACAGTATTATTAGTTTTAACATTAAAAAAATAATAACAACTATTTTTAATTATAACAGCCTCAGAGGTGCACGATAGGGATGATGGGAGTTGTGGTCCAAAAACAGCTGGGGACCCAAGTTTGGGGAAACCTTGCTCTACACCAGGCTTCCGCAAATTCGGCCCTCCAGATGTTTTGAGACTACAACTCCCATCATCCCTGACCACTGGTCCTGCTAGATAGGGATCACGGGAGTTGTAGGCCAAAAACATCTGGAGGGCAGAGTTTGAGGGGGAATTTTGACTTGTCACCCTGGATAGAAGGAAAAGCTGCACCTGCTGAAAATTCCCTCACTGACCCTGGGGGTTTTTCTTGAGGGAGAAGTGGGGTGGGGAAGGACACCTAAAACCACTGGAAGGCAAAGCTGGGAAGGGTCCCCAGGGGCTCATCTAGACCAACCCTCCCGCCTCCTAGAAATGAAAAAAATAATAATCCTCTTCCTCCTGTTTTGGGAGAGGAGGGCGTGGGGCGGTGAAGGAGAGAAAGCAAACCCCAGCCAGACATGAACGTTATTATATATATATATATATATATATATATATATATATATGGATTACAGTATTATTAGTTTTATGACATTAGCAAAATAATAACAAAAATTCGTAATTATAACTGCCTCAGAGGTGCACGATAGAGGGACACACGGAAGGGAAGGGGAAGCTGAGGTAAAATATCTGTGTGTGAGAGAAGGGGGGAGGTGAAAGTTTGTGAGGCGAAAGCGGCCCCTCCCCCCCTCCCCCACCGCGATAAAGGGAGGGGGGCTCCTGCTCACTCACTCAGCCGGGGCGACGCAATAGCTCCGCCTCCTCTCGGCCTCTTCCTCAGCGCGCCCGCCCCACAGGCAGAAGGGAGCGGAACTCGCCGGTGCGGGGGGGAGGGAGGGCCTTGACTGCGCAGCCGCCTCGCCGCCGAGACGAAGTACGCACGCGCAGGAGTCCCCACGCGAATGTTGGTCCCGCCCCTCCGCATGGAGTAAGGCCACGGGACTACAACTCCCGTCATGCCCTGCCATTGGCCACGCAGGCTGAGGGCTGGTGGGAGTTGGAGTCGCCCGGCGACTTGTAAAGGGCAGGCGTCTCCCCGCTCCCATCGCTGACTTAAAGAGGAAACGCTCCGCAAATGGATTGTTAATGTTTGGATTGCTTTGGGGCGAGAAAAAGCGACGGACAAGTAGTAGTAGTAGTAGTACAGGAGTAGTAGTAATAATAATAATAATAGTTGTTTCCAAGCGACGGTTACTTCAGACATGCCAAAGTATTATTATTATTAGTTGTTGTTGTTGTTTAGTCGTTTAGTCGTGTCCGACTCTTCGTGACCCCATGGACCAGAGCACGCCAGGCACTCCTGTCTTCCACTGCCTCCCGCAGTTTGGTCAAACTCATGCTGGTAGCTTCGAGAACACTGTCCCACCATCTCGTCCTCTGTGGTCCCCTTCTCCTTGGGCCCTCCATCTTCCCCAACATCAGGGTCTTTTCCAGGGAGTCTGCTCTTCTCATGAGGTGGCCAAAGTATTGGAGCCTCAGCTTCAGGATCTGTCCTTCCAGGGAGCCCTCAGGGCTGATTTCCTTCAGAATGGATAGGTTTGATCTTCTTGCAGTCCATGTTATAGAGTTATACCTAGAGTTTTGTATCCAAAATCTGAGGCTGAGTGGTTTGCATGCAGAAGAGTCCAGATTCAGTCTCTGCCAGGTATGGCTAATTCATATCCTGTTAAAATGTTCATATCCACTAGTTGGTGTTCCAATTAGTCATGGGCAGGTTTCTTTTTTCTCAGCCTAGATAATTCAGCAATCTCCTGTGTGTTCAGGAAATGAACTTATAACAACAACAACAACAACAACAAAAAATTACTTTAAGAAAGAAAAGAAAACACTTATCACTCTCCAGAGACGTATGCACTTTATGCTTGCAGGTGTTTTGAGGGCTCTTGCTCATCCGCAGAGCTTTGGCTTAGCGTGCAGAAAGTCCTGCATTCAAAGTAATAGTAGTACAGGAGTAATAATAATAATAGTAATAGTAGGTGTTTCCAAGCGACGGTTACTTCAGACATGCCAAAGTATTATTATTAGTACTATTGGTTTTATTATTTTATGTTTATAAGGCGGTTGGTTAGTGTGGGGCTACACCAAGATCCCTGTAAGGGATATTCCTGCGTTGCAGGGGGGTTAGACTAGATGACCATGAGGGGAGGAGGGGCTTCGACCTCTACAATTCTATGCTTCTATATTTATTTACACTCCGCCTTCTCCCCAGAGTGGCTTCCAGGGGGCGAAGGTATGTTCTGCGCTGACCAAGATTCTGGGCGGGAATAATGCGTATCCGTTTTGCTCAAGGTCGCTGACGAGTGATGTCACAGACGCGCCTTGCGGGACTTGTAGTCTTTCTTAACGAGGCGGGGCTCGCCGCGCGTTTGGGCTCGGAGAGAAGGAGGCGGGGTGGTGGCCGCAGTGCATTGTGGGATAGGTAGTTCCGAGCCCTGGCGACGACGCAGCCAGAGCGGAGACGAAAACTACAAATCCCAGAGGGGGAGGCGAGGCTTCCGGCGGAGGCCGCGCGGTTGTGGGAGGGAGATGGTCCAGGAAGATGGCGTCGCGGGTGAGTGGAATCGGAGGTAGCGGCGGCGGCGGTGGCGAAGAGAACCGTCTGGTGTCGCTGCCGTTGTCTCGCATCCGGGTGATCATGAAGAGCTCGCCTGAGGTCTCCAGCATCAACCCGGACGCCATTTTCCTCACGGCGAAGGCCACGGTAGGGCCCCGGCAGGGACGCTTCTGAGGGGGGTGCGAAGGCCGCGAGGGAGACGCCGGCGGGAGACTGCGCTCGAGGCAGCTCCGACGGTGGCAGCGGCTCTCCTGTGGAGACCAAGCTCCTGGGAAGGTGGGGTGGTTTTTCTAAACAAGAGACACATACATACATATGTATGTGTACAGTGGTACCTCGGGTTACAGACGCTTCAGGTTACATACGCTTCAGGTTACAGACTCCGTTAACCCAGAAATAGTGCTTCAGGTTAAGAACTTTGCTTCAGGATGAGAACAGAAATCGTGCTTCAGGGCGCAGCGGCAGCAGGAGGCCCCATTAGCTAAAGTGGTGCTTCAGGTTAAGAACAGTTTCAGGTTAAGTACGGACCTCCGGAACGAAATTAAGTACTTAACCCGAGGTACCACTGTATTCTCTTCAGTCCTACCTCGCAGGGTTGTTGTGAGGAAAGATGGGGACCCAGGGGAGTTTTCACGTCTCCCGCCTTGACCTCGATTCATTAACTTACTCTCTTTCTATGCAAAGTGGCTCCCGAGCAACAATGACGTACAGTAATAGAGCAGTGTTTCCCAACCGGTGTTCCGCGGCACACTAGTGTGCCACGAGACGTTGCCTGGTGTGCCGCGGGAAAAATTAAAAAATTCGAAAGATATCCGGAGAGGCGGCCTTCAGGCGAGTTTTAATTTTAATTTTCCTTCTCCCACTTAATGCCCCACGCTCGCCCGAGCAGCTTGCAGTCCTCGGTAACCACGGCGACCCGAGGGAGGGGAGGGAACAGGGAAGTCGAGGGCGGCGGCGAGCCGCGATGACGTCAGTGGGCCGCGCCGCCTCGCCCTGGCACGGTGTGAGAGCCCCGGCTAGTGGCGCGAGCTTCAGAATAAGTGGGATCCGCGTGCACGAGACCGAGATCGCGGGTAAGGAGCTCAGCCCTGGGCAGGAGGAAGCGGGGCCGCGCGTGCGGGCCACATCCCCACAGAGAGCGAGCCTCCCCCGGCCCACCACTCCGGGCAGGTCCACTCGCATGAGGGGGCGGCGATGGCGACGGCCGGCAGCTTGCCTGCAATGCCATCCCTCGAGCAGGCGAGGAGCCCGGAGGCTACCAGATGCGAGTCCTCTTTCCCACCCTGCTCGGGAGTCCAGAGCACTTGGTCGCATTCAGGATCTAGAGTGGGGAAGCGGGGCTTGTGTCTGGGCTGGACACATTGGGCTGCCTGTGCCGCTCGACCTGCGGGGAGAAATCAGGGTGGGAGTCACGACCGTGAGGCAGGGCTGCCAAGTGTGGCAGAAGAGGACACGGCCGTCGCACCTGTCCTTAGGTAGGAGCTTCTTCCGTGTCGACCTGCTGCCCTAAAGTCTTGGCTTTTTTCTTGGCTTTTTGGCGGTTGGCACAGAAGGAAGGCAAGGGGGAGGGGAAAAAATTGAAACTTACACTTTCGTGCGTCCCTCCCGGCGTGACGCTGCGCGCTGACGTCACGGGGCTGTAATGGTGGTGTGCCTCGAGATTTTTTTCATGAAACAAGTGTGCCTTTGCCCAAAAAAGGTTGGGAAACACTGTAAATAGAGCATCACATATACAACGTGAATTATATAGAATCATGAACTAAATCAGCAGTAGATCAAGCGCATTCTATAAAATGCTAGTAACAAAACAACTTTTTAAAAAAGAAAGAAAAGCTAAACAACACAATTACAGCAAATGTCAGCTTTGGAACTCCCTGCCTAGGGAAACCAAACTCACTAGCTCCTTGCTGCCCTTCTGCCAGCAGTTGAAGGCATTCTTGTTCCAACAGGCTTTTGGGAACTGACTGCATTTGATGCCTTGCTGGTTTTTTTTTTGTAATTATTTTTAGGGTTTTAAGTCTATATATGTATGTTTTAATTATCAATGATTGTTGCTTTTCTGTGTTTATAGCTGTTACTTTTATCTGTAAGGCAGGGGGGAAAGCAGGGTAAGGCTAAATATGTCTTATTTATTTGGCGATCACTCGTAGCCAAGTAAGATTGTCTTCCATAAACGTGGTTTTTTCTTTCCTAATTAAATAAATTTTATTAGTATTTTCCACACAACAACACGAAAATATCAAAAAATAACAATACACAACACACAAAAAGCAACATTCGAAAACTAAAAGAACAACAACTAAAAAAAACACAAAACAAATCCATATCTTACAAGTTAATAATTTATATTATATAATATAAACACGGTTTTAACAATGAGTCCGTAAGTGACTGTGGAGGCCAATTCTGGATCCACACATCCTTCCACAGTGGGGACATTAGTTTCCGGGCGGGAGTTCATCACGGTGTGGATTTGCCAAGCATGCCTTCGTCTTAGCATGTTTCTCCCTTGCGTCCTGAGTTCGAGTGTCTTCAAAGCCCATGACACCTTTGGTAAAGGCTGTTCTCCAACTGGAGCACTCACAGGCCAGTGTTTCCCAGTTGTCAGTGTTTATACATACTACATTTTTTTTAGATTTGCCGAGACAGTCTTTAAACCTCTTGTTGACCACCAGCATTACACTTTCCATTTTTAAGTTCGGAATAGAGTAGTTGCTTTGGAAGACGAGTAGCAGTAGGGGCAACAGTGGTGATAAAAAGTGTAGCTTAGATTCCCAGCCCATGATCAGCCTCCTATGGGACATATTTTGTATTGCATCGTGGATATCTATTGATTGATGAACTCAATTGTGTGCCACTTTTCCTCCAATGAACTATGGGGGGGCATGCACAGTTTTTCTCCTCCCAATTTTCTCCTCGCAGCAACCCTGAGAGATAAGTTAATCTGAGAGTGACTGACTTCCCCAGGGTCACTGAGTGAGCTTCATGACTGGGGAGAGGTTTGAATGCTGGTCCCCCCAGCACTCTAACCACTGCACCATGATACCTCCTCTTGTTATAGTATCCTCTGTGGTTCCAAGAGGGTGATTGATGTAATTACAATAAAATAGTGTATGCTAGTGTAATCTAGTGTAATCTAGACAACATCTTAAAAAGTAGAGACATCACCTTACCAACAAAGGTCCGTATAGTTAAAGCCATGGTTTTCCCAGTAGTGATGTATGGAAGTGAGAGCTGGACCATAAAGAAGGCTGATCGCCGAAGAATTGATGCTTTTGAATTATGGTGCTGGAGGAGACTCTTGAGAGTCCCATGGACTGCAAGAAGATCAAACGCATCCATTCTTAAGGAAATCAGACCTGAGTGCTCACTGGAAGGACAGATCGTGAAGTTGAGGCTCCAATACTTTGGCCACCTCATGAGAAGAGAACACTCCCTGGAAAAGACCCTGATGTTGGGAAAGATGGAGGGCACAAGGAGAAGGGGACGACAGAGGATGAGATGGTTGGATAGTGTTATCGAAGCTACAGGCATGAGCCTGACCAAACTGCGGGAGGCAGTGGAAGACAGGAGTGCCTGGCGTGCTTTGGTCCGTGGGGTCACGAAGAGTCGGACACGACTAAACGACTAAACAACAACAAGTGTATGCTGAATAGTATATACCTGACTCATTGGTATACTATATTCTTATCCTTAGGAGCTGTTTGTCCAGTATTTAGCCGTGCATTCCTATAAGCACGGCCAGGGAAAGAACAAAACATCATTAACCTACAGTGACTTGTCCCATACAGCAGAGAACTATGATACATTTCAGTTCCTTGCAGGTAGGTCTTTACTCTTATCGGTCATGTAATTGTTGCAGATTTTTGAGTCCCCAGTGGCGAAGTTGGTTCTGTTAAGACTACAAACCACCTTAAAAAGTCTCCTGGAACTGTTTTCCACTGATACAATGGAGGTGGCAAAGAAGGTCGTCTTTGCCATCGCCATCGCCACTTGGTAGGCTCAATGTTAAGCTCTAACTCGTGTTTGGTCCAATTCGGAATGGGTTTTTTGCCACTGGTGCTCTAGCCATCTCAGCAATTGTTTCATTGCTGAATGAGAGAAACATGAGAGTTATGGATGATGGGTAGAAAGAATGACTAGGATACAGATTTCCTGTTCAAACCCATTCTAGTTTCTAAGTCTTCACAAGTCACCTTAAGTTTACCAAGTGCTCTTGGACAACCATAGCAGTGAAAATCTTTATTTTTTTTTGGGGGGGGAGATTTTTGTAGATGTAAAAGTCTGCGTTAGGTATGTGGTTCCATTGTGAACCTTACATTGGGCCACACCTTTCCTTAGTTATTTTCTAGCACCTGTAAGAATGCTTTTGTAATCATTTAATGATGGCGCCCTTCTTCCAGATATCCTGCCAAAGAAGATCTTGGCTAGCAAATATCTAAAAATGCTTGAGAGAGAAAAAGAGGGAGGAGAAGAGGAGGAGGAGGCAGAAGAGGAAGAGGATGAAGAAAGTGAAGAGGAAGAAGCATCTTGAGGGTGACAAATGACTAGACTTACAGCACATCCTTGTTACACATTAACTTTTTTAGATGACTTGTGTTCAAGAAAAGTCCTGTTATCTCTGGATTGGTTGAAAATTGAACAACTGGATTGCCAGTTTGTTTTACAATATATGCAAGAGCCATAAGTGTGGGACTGAACTTGTGAAGAGATTTTTATTTTATTTTATTTACAGTTCTTTGTTAAAAGCTTAACCAACTACGTATCAAACATTCTTATCTTGTGGATACTGTATTTCCAATACAGAGGTTTCTTCCTCTGCCCACATTGGGCAGCTCAGCAGTGACAATGAACCTCCTGATAGGGAACAATTCATTTAACAGCTTCATAGAAACCAAACATAATGCACAATGTCCAGCCTAGTTGGGAACAAATGGGGAAACTCTTTTCATGTTTTGGGGTTTTTTTTAATTACTACTTGCAGTGATGTTATGCATATTGTTAATAGGGGGGGGGGGAATCTGCTCTGCCTCATGTTAATATGTATATTTTGAAAGGATGTTAAATATAGAAGTAGCATTTCTACAGCAGGGACTCTTTCCCATTTTGAGTAAGAGATGTACTTTATTCTTTAAACAGTGGCAACATTTGTAGAATACTTGTTCTAATGAATGTTTTATAAAAATGAATTCAGAAGATTTTTGTATAAGCACTTTTCCTTTGAAACTTGAACCTGTTCAGGGATTGAGCCAAAGGCTTAGTGAAGGCTGTTTTGTGTGTCTGAGTGATGTAAAACGTAATTGAAGTGGGATAATAGGTGAGCATTCCAGGCCATACACAAGGCAGGGAGAGTACTAAAATGTGATTTTTGATCCATTTACACTATGTACTAGGCCACCCATCCTCTTGCACCAACTCTGTAGTTGCTTCCATCAACGTGTTGAATGATAGAGATGCTGTTTGAAACTGCTTGAAAGGTTTAGTACTAAATGCTTATATAGCCAGCTCATCCACAGGAAAAGTAATTCCTTCCTTGGTCTTTAACTTTTCACAAAAAATGAAGCACTTACGAAAGACTTTGCTTCACCAGCTTCTATTCTATGATGACCCACATGGCAGAACCTTCCCTGCTACTCAACGGCAGGTGCTATCTCAGGGGTGTCTGCATGTGCTCTGGAAGCCACTGGAGGTTGAGTGGTTCCAAACCATCACAGGCTTTTAAAAAGTCAAATTGGGACTGGAAGTTTGCAATATTGGTACTACATTATACCCACCCTCCAAATTCTCCTGCTCCACTGTCAATCAAGCTTCTGAAGTTCTTAAAATATGGGTAGGTTTATATGCCCCTACCAGTTTGTTTGGTAATGGCATACCAGAGCCCTTTCTACAGTGGAACTAAAACTGTAATTCTCCATCTGCTGCCCTCCTGAATGAATTTCTGGACATTTAGAAGTACTCATGCAGAGAACACAAAGCTTAGCTCAGTCTCCCCCCATGATGTGAGGGAGAGTTTGAACAATATACTGATTAAAATACAAGTGCAGTACACAGCAGGTACACTATTGCTCCCGTTTCAGTGGCTGCAAGCTCTACCCTCTGAAGCAAACCTGGGAGTTAGAAAGATGGAACACACTTAGGAAGTTATGGACTCTGCAGCCATAGCGTCCTGTGTTTTATAAAGCACCTTGGTCTAGTGATGTGTGAGCAAAACAGCATCTATTAAATTGCAGAGATAGCCAGTCATTTTTCTCCTAGGTTCCATGGAAACTGAGCTATTAAGGAAATAGTTTATTCTTATGCACACAATACCAGAATGGTTAAGAATTATCAGCTGGTCTGAAAAACAAATGTTCAAATTGTTTCCCAGCAATGGAGTTTGCTATGTGACCTTGGACCAGTTACCATCATGCAGCTTACCTTACTTCATAGGATCAATGATAAAAACTGCCCAGAATGTGTGCATCCACATTCCCGCCCTGTAAAAAATGTATTAATTGTACCAGGCACTTGAAACCCATGCATAATAGAAAATGGTACATTTGAACTTGTAAATATGAGTAATTTATTGACATACTATGAGGCAGAAACAAAATCGACACCATACAAAATAACTTTATAAAATATCATTCACATCATATTTCATCAAGATTTACAGCATTTTGAGCTTGTTACATGTCTTATGGTATGGAGGTAATAAAAAAAAAACACTACACTAAATCTTTAGTATTAGTTTATAATATATATACACACACACATACACAAGAAACCAAAACAAAAGTAAAAGGTTAGTTTGTCATGAGTTTATTGCATAAGTAGTGCAAAGTATTTTACTAGCAAGCTGTAAAACAAACATGGAAAGAGGAACCACCTAAGTTTAAAAACAGGACAATAAATGTTGAATTTCACAGTCTTCTGAAGCTTCCTTCAAGAGTTTCTCTCCCTGCGTTCTACTCCCAAACACAACTCCCTCTGTGTTATAATGCATTTGGGGAATTAAAACTACCAAGTTATTCTGAAGGAAATTAGATCTAAAGGGCACATGTTGCTTGAAATCACCTGCTTGCAAACTCCGGGTGGCGTCCAACTAAACAGTTTGGCCAGCGCAAGGACATTTACTGCACAGTGGAATATTCACATATTCAAGCCTCTGGAGCAGATTTAGGGGGTGAGAGGCAGGGAAGTTCTACTGCACAGCTAAAATCCTTGTGCTAGCCAAACTGTTTAGCTGGATCCTGCCCTCAGTTTCCAATGGGGGGTGTTTTGGAGTAGCAATGTGGCTCAGCTGTCCAGTTAGGTTATCCTAACTGATTTGTTAGCTTATTCCTTAATCAATATATAATTATTACAAGTACATGATTGCTTTTTTCCAGTTGGAAAGCAGCAAGCGACACCACTCCCCATCCTCGATGTTGAATGATTACAAAGCAAGCATACAAGCCAAGAGAGAACATATATTGTCTGTTTTACATCCTTAAGTTTCCTTTTTCTCAAAACCTACTTCGTAAAGTCACTACATCCTCTACTGAACTATGCAGGGCAGACTTGATAACAACTAACACCGGTAAAGGGTAAGAATGTCTAACTAAGTGAAGAGAGACAAACTCTCTCAGTTCTTCAGGGGATCCAACAAATACAAATTAAAAGCCAGGTAGCCTTTTAACAATATATTAAAACTAATGAAAGCCAAACAAAATGCTCAGTGAAATAAAAGGAACAAAATGCAGCATATTCAGGCTCTTGTTTCAATCGTGAGGTACCTGTAAGTCTTATATTCTGCCCAAGTACTATGGTACATTAAAAACATTTTAAAATTCTTAACCATGAGCCAATTTACAGGACACTATTACTGAGAAAGTGCAACAATGCTGATCACTTATATGCAGCATATTAAAAGGTTGGTTACTCTTTTATAAAATATAGCTTTACTTATAGACCCGTTGGGGCAGTTTTGTAACATACACTTTTTTTCCTGTTGATTGAGTCTCTCTGCAGCAAAAAGAAAAAAAAAGGAAAAACACCTCCTTTAGGGTATAGCTTAAATCCTGCCACTTAGGAATGTTGGTGTCCCCCGTCTCTCTCCCCCACCCCCCGCCCACATTTCTTTAATTCCCCCACCCGGATATTAAACTAAATTATCAATTTTTACAGGAAAAGATTCCCATGCTGTATCGGTTACGGTTTATAAAGTCAATTTTTGAAATCTTCAAAAACAATAGTATATTACAACTTAGTCTCCCCAAAAAAAGGTAAGTAAAAAAAGTTTTATATAAAAAAGGATATTCAAACTGTTATATAAAAGCATGCAGAAAGTTACTTGGATGTTTTTATTCCCTTACCTGACATATGCACACACATCACTTCCATGTTTTACTATATACATGTATATATGTACAGTAACCTTTGCCAGCCCGGGGGGGCAGCCTTCCAGGTATTGTTGGACTACAACTCCCATCAGTCCCCAGTGAGCAAGTGCTGTCTGGGGGCTGATGGGAGTTGTAGTCCCCTATCTGGAGGGCTAACCAGGTTAGCAAAGGTTGATGTACAGCTTGAGTATTAGTAGCTACATACACACATCTTCACGCATATTGAGCTTCCCACCCTTGGAACTACCCAGGCCACAGAGATTTCACTAATTAAATGGAGGAAGTATATATATATATATCTCGTCGTGTGCAGATTTGCTCCCTTCGCTGAAACAAATGGGGCGGTCCACATATATTGGCTAGCACATTGGAACACGGTCATCCCAAGATTGAACTGCCACACTACTTGCTTTTGGGCAAACACTGAGACGCTCCACAGAGCATGCATGGTTCACGACCATGCAAATGTATGCATAGAATAGTTTGGGATCCGAGTATCAATGTTTCCCCCCCCCCCTTCCGTCTGTCTGTTTTTCAATACATGTTTTTTTCTTTAAAAAAGAACTCTTTCCACATTACAAGCATTCCGTTACGCTGTATATTTATATAGTTTTATTACACACAAAAATACACTTTCGTTAATTTTTCAGAAACCTGACACAGTTTTCAGTTTCGCTGTTAAAAAGGGTTTATAGTTCGTATAGGAGCGTGACGATTTCGCTATGCATCGGGACTCAACACAAAAGGCACAAAGATGAAGAGAGAGAGAAACCAAATGCATTTTTGTAACACAACCCACCCCCACCACCCAAACACCCTTGTCTTCAGAGGACAAGTAATCACATACTGTTTGGTCACTTTGGACAATCTCATTTATAATTTGAATAAATTAGCACCCAACTGCTTAGTGTGAGGTAGATCCGAACTGGAAAGAGTGCTGGGTCCCCACCACCACCACCCACGCCTGCGACTAATCTTGGAGACCAAAGGAGTCAATGTCAGTTATGTGATGCAAAAAAAACATCACTGTGTTTTCAACATATGTACATTTTAAAAAATCGTCAAGACTCTTCTTTCAATACAACTACATATCACTCGGGGGAATGAAGCAACATTAATCCCCTTAGCCCTTTTTTTAAAAAAATGAATTTCTTCCAATTGCTTAATATCTTCTCCACACATCACAATGTCCGGATTAACAGTGTGGCTGGAGCCCCAGTCCAGGTGGTGTAAAATTCTGTATAAATTGGGATAGAATGACAAGGCTACAGGGCAGGTGCCTCCATTGCCTCCTCAAAAACAGACTGGTTTTAAGGATAAGAACAACTTTTTTTAAAAAAAAATCTCTTGTGCCTTCATGGGAAAGAGTTAAGTCTTACTAAATTACTGTTTTTTGCATATTCTGATTTTGGACAAATTTGATACATTTGTTAAGGCTTAAGTTAAAGAAACCACATCGCATCAAGCAAGCATGTAACTAAAACTGCTTAAGGTACATACACTGCATAAAATGCTAATTCTCCTACATTGAGTTTTTATAGATGAATGTATAGAGTGAAGTATACTCTCTATAATATATATATATATAATGAAATGGAAACTCTACAGCATTACTAATGGGAAGAAATAATTTTTTAAGTTTTCCTCAAGTGCTAATTTTATATTTCTGTATATCCTGGAAGCCTGGAACATCGCAACAGAGAGGCAGCAAAAGGATGTAAACTATTTCTATTTAGTACCATTTTGAAATAAGGCCCTTCACTAATCTCTCTCATTAGCTAATCGGGTTTTTTTCAACAATGTATTTTGTTTCTTCCTTCTTGGCAAATGAAATATGTACGATAATGGTGTTCCTAGGCAATTATTCCTAGGTAGGATCCAGACCCAAGTTTGCTGAACTTGGGTGCCACCGCCAAGTTATTATTACTATTCATTACTGCATTTATGTCCCATCTTTTTGTGTGCTTGGTTCGCCACATTTAACCCCCACAGCAACCCTGTGAGGTACGTTAGGCTGAGAGAAGACTGACTGGCCCAAGGTCACCCAGTTAGCTTCACGGCCAAGTGGCGATTTGAACCCTGGTCTCCCAGGTCCTAGTTCGGCACTCTTAACCACGACACCACACTGGATCTCAAGTTAATACTGGGTTAAGTCCCGTTGATTTCAGTGAAGTAACTTAAGCCTGGATCCAAGAAACATTAGTAAATTAAAAAAATACTACAACTGCTTAAACTAAACTACAGGTTAAAATTAATCCCAGGAGATGTCAGTTAAATCTGAAGTGTGCCAAAGCTTTTAAAGATCCGATTACAGCATAAACTCTGACCACCCTAACTTCCTACCTCCAACTTCATGGTGCAAAACCCTCTCAGTCTACTGTTGCTGATTAATAGCCATTGGTCATAATAATCGCTTGCTAGAAACTGAGTGGCAAGTCTCAGTTGACCATGCGGGGGGCACACCTGGCAAAGGAGCACAGCCCACCGCAACTCCAACCCTATGATAAGTGGGTGTTCAAGATGTACAGTACACCTTAAAAAAACTTATGTGAAGCAAGGACGCTGTGGCTTTTGCAGCACACAGGGAAAAATGAAGAAGAAAAAGCTTCAGAGTCAGCACACATCCTGAGGAAAGCATGGCGTTACCAACAGTTTGTGCAATGGACTCGGTAGAAAATGGGAGGTAAGGAAAGTAACGTTACTATGCAGTCTGTCTCCTCATATCCTTTTACCGCTTAAAAAGAACTGAAAAGGTGCCCGCAATACTGCCATCAGAGGTAGTTTTTTTGTTTTGTTTTGAAAGGAGAGCAACGGGCCCAGATTCTTTCCCCAAGAAGTATTTCTTCCCTGGTTGTAATCTTGAGAAATTCACAGAACTGAGAAAGGTGGCAGCTGTTTGCATGCCCTGTTATTAAAACTCTCTATAGAAAAAGCTGCCGTGAATTCAGAGATCTCTCATATCTAGGCTCACTCCAGAGGCAGGAGTAAAATTGTTCTTCTCTTCCAGACTGAGAATCAAAGTGTCACATATCTCAAGCAACAAGCTCACTCTTTTAAGGATATCCTTAACATGGGATAAAAGTTACTACACCCTTGTGCTCCTTAAGGAGTTCTGCCAGATTCTGAACAGCTGACGGGAAAGCCAGGGGCTTTTTTTTTTTGCATTGTAAAGTAGTATTTAAAGTAGGATAGTTCCCGTTTGACAATTTGGTTGCTTCAGCAGATTTCAGCAGGTTTTCAGTAACTTAAAACATAACCCTTGTTAGAAGTCTCTAGCCCTCAGCATCATAAAGCCTTATGAACACTTCTCTCAGCCTCAAGTGGTTGAAGGGACAAATAACATCAATCTCTGGTAATTTAGCAGTAGTACCCTTCTTCCCCAAGGTTAAGCCCTCTCTTGTAATTCAGGGTCAGTACAGATGCCATGCTGCTTCCCTTAAAACCATGGTTTGGCAACATGCGTAAGAGCTTAAAGGTCCATCGACACCAGTATCCTGTTTCCTGATGGTTCAGGTGCCTTCAGGAACTCCACCAGCTTCAGATGGCGGTGGAGAAGGGGCAGAGAAAGAAATAGGCTTCACTGTGCAAGCCAGTGTTTCCCAACCTATGGGTCATGAACCACAAGAATCGCAAAGCCTGTGCAAACGAGTCACAGGCTTTATAAGTAAGCCCAAAATAAATATTGTTAGTAACCTTTAACTGGTTATGATGAATGCCTCCTGCAACTTTTCATTTCGTTGGCATATCATTGACGCTTGTGGCAATAAATTTATGGGTCACCACACCAAATAAATTCGGAGTGGTGAGTCATCGTATCAAAAAGAACCACTGGTGTAGGCTACAATTCAAAATATCTCTTTAAGGGAAGGGATACACCTCAGGGGCTGACCACACATTTTGCATGCAAAAAAACTGCCTGGTTCAGTTCCTGGCATTGCGAAATGGAATTGGTGGACTCCTGCTAGAAAACCCTGCAGAGCTGCTGCTAATCAGCCTAGGCAGACAATATTGAACTAAGTAGACCAATGGTCTGTCCATTTTAAGGTAGCTTCCTACATTCCACACCTAGTGCCACACACCCAAGTAGGCTCTGAGATCATAGCTCTATGGATCTCTGGCTTCAAAGGATGAACAGATCTGTTTGCAAACTACTGGTGAACATGACTATTGAATAGTACAAGCACTGTTACTCTCCTGAATGATGAAACTTATGATGACTTGCATTAACTATCAAGTAAGTAAGTAAAGTAAGTAAGTTATGGATAACAGTCCTATGACATATCCAGTGACAATCTTGATAGCAATATGTGTATGTATAAATGAGCACAATGAATTCGCTCGTCAGAATAATATTATGATTACAAGACAGCTTTCTACAGTTTAGTTTGAGATAAAAGCACCTTATTTGCACTCACTTCAAGATCTTGGGTGTGACCAAATTCTCATACCGTGAAACAGAACACACTCATAATATAAAACATTCAAGAATATATATATATATATATGCACATTTAGAGTTTATATAAGTTAGTGACTTGTGTAGGGAAAAATAGCATCTTGAAGTTCGAAGAAAAAATACCTAAATAGAATCTCAAAAATATCAACACATAATGTCATCCTAGGTTCAAAATAAGTTTAAAGCACCTTCATGTCAACCCTCTGTTAAAACAAGAGACCTTATATATTATTTTACATATGTGTGCACATCTGGATTCATAGCTAGTATGCACGAGAGAACTTGGGACTTGTGTTTTCAAATGGCAAGCCCTCATATGCAAAAGAAGCAAACCTCAGCTGAAGCAAAAAGGGAATCTTATCATTAGCCTGTGATATGGAAGAAGGGCCTGCCATTTAAAGGGAGACGTACGTGCCCAAGTCCCTAGGGGGTAGCTTTTTAGATCCTGGCCAAACATCCCATGTACACACATGCTCCTACACCTAAGGCATTCAGACATGTCTTATTGGAAACAACAGTTGGGGGGGGGGTTGCAAATACAGGGTAAAAGTGGACCCGTCCATGATATCACTGCAATCCTTCAAGCCATATTAAATCCATTAAAAACAACAACTTTATTTGCTCTTTGCAAAGTAGGCAGCATCCTGTGGGTTCTATGCAGACCGCTTGTTCTGATAAAGGATGCTATAAGACCCCGTATGGCACTTGGCTTCTCAGATTAGAAGCCAGTAAGTTCATAGTGACTCAGGTCCTTTGGTGAATTTTGGCTACTCTCAGTAATGTTAAATCACATCTCAAAAAAAAAGGGGGGGGGACAGGATATTCTAATTTCTTTCAAAGTATGAAGGAGGTAGTATTTAAACTGTACCAGCTTACTAGTTGGAAGAGTCCTCTGCTGCAATCTGGCCATGCCGTTTTAATTCTATGACAATACTTCAGGGGTCATCGTCATTTAAGTAGGTTGGAGTCAGGTACACAGCACGCCAAATGGCTTAACATGGGGTCGGAGGGCTGAAATAACTTCGCAAACAGGGCAGGGGCTTCTCTGTCTGCTTTAAGTGTGCCAAAGGGTAGTTCAACAGAAGTCAGAGCCAATTACTAACAGGTACCTTTGCAGCCCAAAAAATAACTGGCTACAGAAAGGTCAATTCACAAATCGCAAGCTATCCAACTCACAGCTATCCATTTGGGCTGCCCGTTTAATTAGTATGGAGAATTCATACAAGGTTGAGTGAGAAAAGCTCCATCAGGTAAGCAGCCCTATGGCACAGAATGAAGCCCAAGCCCACGTTTTGCCCTCTGTCCAATGGTTTCACATAGCCGCTGCAACAGTTTGGCTGAGCCCAAAGCCACGTTAGAGCAGCCAAATGAATCGGATGCTGAGGTTCTCCACCAGTCATTTTTCTTGGCACATCTCCCAATCTGCATTCTTTGTAACCAGACAGCATGGCCGACTGGTCAAAAAGGCAGTGATAAAACTGCAGGGCAGAGAGCTATGTATAACTGATTATACCAGTGCATAAAATCGGGGGGGGGGGGGTTACATATTTTGCAAGCAAAGTGCATTTTGGGGGGGAAAAAATGAAGCTATGGAGTGAAAGCAGACAAAAAACTTCACTAAAATATATAAAGCAAATTTAGCAAACTGTCCTTCAAGGATTTGTTGGCTACATACAAATGGATAAAATGCAGAAACTAAATATGAGCCTTTATGTTCCTCTCTTAATACTGTAAAATCAGACACTCACTCTACAAATACAACAATGAATGTGACAATTTCTCCCTTGTCTCATCCTAACGCTATGTACAGTATTGTTCCAATAGCTACAGCAGATGCAAACAGAAAACCCTTTACAGTAAAAAAATAAAATAAAAAAAAAAGATCAGTGCAATTACATCCTGCTTGAGTTTTTCCTAGAAATGATGGCCTGGAAGCTTTTAGAAGCGAATTGTCAGTGACTACAAATGCGAAAGGAAGATATAATGCATGGTCTCATATGCATGGATCTTAGCCAGTGCCATTTCGAAATGAACAAAGCTACCAAACAAAAATAACTGCTTTTGGAGAAACGAATTGTAACTGCAACACAAAACTTTAATCTACAACTGCTACCTACTAGTGACAACGTTTACATTCTTTTCCTTAGGCAGAAAGACCTTATGGCTTAGGTAATGTCACAGGAGCTGTTCTCTGGGTTATATCACATGTGGCAAGATTTCTACCTACAACCCCTAAAGCGAAGGACCAAAATCTCGTCCCAAAGTGTCAATGGTCACAGGTGAAAGACCTGAGACCCTGAAGAGCTGTTCCAGACTCGGTGATCATGAGCTAGATGGACTATTGGTCCGTCTGATCTGGTGATAAGGCAGCTTCCAACTATCCCCCAGAACTGAAGATGGGACATGGGACTGTGAAGCGTTGCTAAGCACATGAGATCTAGTTCATTTCTCAAGGGGGTGGGGAGGGACTACACTGACTTTAAGAGATAAGGCTTGGCGCTCCTATTGTGTGCTTGCATATAACTGGATACTTCCAATCCCACCTGTTCCCGATAACTGTTTTTCAGCTCCGGGGGTGGCGACCTTAGACATATATATATGTCAGGTTGGTAGGTGACCCAGGAGCCCATATTAATGTTTAAGCCAATCCCATATCCAACAACCTAGATCAGAAAGAGTGAAGACTCATAGAACTATCTCCAAGAACTTGGAGCTATTAAGATGCTGCCATAGCCTAGGTCACAACAGTCTACATGATGCTTCAGATGTTGTTGAGCTCCCATCATCTCAGACTCCTGGTTATACTAGCTGGGAGCTGGAGTCCAACAACACGCAGAAGGCACTAACTACGCTGGCTCCTCCTAACTTATGCAATCTTTTTTACCTACCTGACTGCAACATGTTATCTGAATTTTAGGTACAGGCAGAAGCAACTCAAATAACACAGGTAATCTCCAGCATGTGCAAAGCTGAGGAGGAACAGGAGAGAGGGCGTTGTGAGAATTCCCATCTCCCCTGAACAAACCCATCACAGCTCAACTTGAAGTCGCCACATGCAGCCACACAGTATGTCCTTACAAGTCAAGACTAGCAACACACACACACCCCTTGGCAAGTTTTTAGATGTGAATTATTCCAGTGCTCTAGCCATTGTTATAATAAAATTCAACAACACAGCCTCAAATGTGCTGCATATCCCAATCAAGTCAGCACCAGAACAGTAATGAAAGCTAGGCAGGGGCTTGATTGCGCCTGTGCTCAAGACCCAAAGCTGAGGAGGAGAGGCAAAGAACTTGGTTGGGCCCAATACATGATCTAACGTCAGTAACAACTCCAAAATGTGGTGTGGGGAGGAGATCTGGCCATGGCTGGCTCTGTCTCTCACTCCCGTTGTCATTTATCTCCGGCCGACAACCTCTGAGCAAGCAAGGGGCAACAATGCCGATCCTCATATGCTCCAGAAGGCATCCATGTTCTCTGCATCAAGAATGCATATTTTTAAAAGGCACAAGAGACCAATTATAGGGTGTTTTGCTTTTTCAGATAAAATGGCTTCAGTTATCATTGCTGGTTCATTGGTTTGCGCTCTGAAACAGAAGCAATTCCATTGGTTGCTGCTTTCTTCTTTTTTTACATCCCAATACTGCTAAAATTGTAAAGCAAACAAAAGCAAATAAAAATAGAAAACTTGCACACTTGAATTCTATAGGGTGTTTCCACCACCCCTCAAATCTTCCTACAATAGGAGGTTCCTTACTTGGCAACATGAAATTGACAGCAAAGCAACTGGTTTTGCTAGGGCTGAGATGTCAGCCCCTTGTTCTTCTTTTTTGAGACGTTACAGGAATTTATAAGCATCAAACAGGCAATAGCACAGATAAGAGACGTGAGGGGGGACCTGCAGTCCAACAGCATCTGAAGGGCCACAACTCCCATCCTCCCCAACCATTGTCCAGCTAGCTGGGTCTGATGGGAACTGTATTCCGACAACATCCAGAGGGTTGTATGTTCCCCATCCCTAGCACAGATACACATCCAGCAGAGTCTAATCCTTACAGGTGAAGTTTGAGAAAGGACTGCAGCATTTACAGGCAATGCAACTCTGAAACACCTGTTTGGCTACAACTGAGTGCTGATGCCATTTTAAAAAAACAATTATGGAGGTCAATCAGACCCAGTTTTCTCTGCATGTGAAGAGGGAACAACTTTTTAAAAAAGGAGAAAAAGAAGCCAAATTCCTAACAGAACCAGTTTTATTACAAATTGATTCCAACAATAAGTAGATAAAATTTAAAAGCACTTCCAGGTATATGACACAACCCTGGACTCCCCTCAGTTTTTTTGTAAACTATTCTCCTCTGTTCTCATGGAGAATATTTTGGATAAAAGTGTATGAAATCATTCACCTGAGATATTGCTGTGCTTTCAAGAGTCATTGTAGTAAACAGCTGTGTAGAAAGATGTATTCTTTGTTTCAAATTGGAGTTTTGGTTTATGCATATATTATAAAAAGCAGTTCCTGTGCATAATCAGAGTGCCCTATCTTTTCAAAGTGCATTGTCAATTGTTCAAAAACGAGCTTTACAACCCCTCCCCCCGATGCTGAATCTTGCTAGACACTAGTTCACCATGCATCTAACAATAAGAAAGGAAAAAAGCCTTAAAAAAATAAAAATACAGTATACAAGATTAAAAGAAAGAAAACAACATGCATTTATCCTTTCTGCCACACAATGATATCTAACTTTCAGAAAACGGCCATATTCCTTCTACACAGGTAGATACTCACATGAAATTGCTGCACATGCCAGTGACAACATTAATTCTTTGGAGAAGGGTCTACACAAGCCCAGGCAACAATTGTGGACATGCGTCTGCAGTCTGAGAGTGCTGATTCAATGAAGATAATGGAAATGGAAGAAATGAAAAGAACTAAGTGACTGCCAGCTAGCACCTAGAAGATAGCCGCTACTATTTTAGCTTGTTGCTAGTTAACAGCAGCTGCGGGAAAGAGCTCTTTGCATTGACTTGACCACCCAGTTCTGGATAGGAAGACAAGGAAAATTCTGCCATCTTGGCCCACCTATTTCTGCCTGATGTAGCTTCAAGATGACAGAGAAACAAGGAAATAATGAATTACTGCCACCTTATGTGCCAGCCCAGGACAGAACTAGCTTAGATTAGCTTTTAGAACCGGCTTGTTCACCAACTGAACAGTGGTGAACCCCAAATATCTCTTCACATTTCAATCGCTTCCCTAACGCAAGCTGGAAAGTGCAACAAATCCAGGAAGAAAAAGGTAAGATGCTATAAATTCAAGGAGGAGATGTTGCAATCTGCTTTTCACAGCAGAATGACAGAGACCCTGACTGGGTCCTGTTTTTCTTGAAACAATCAAGCTGCTGGAACTGCAGAGTCCAGAATTTTAACACACACACACAGACACACACTTACTTTAAACAAAAGAAAACATGACATACTCATGCCTCAAAAGCCTGTCTGTTGTTCCAGCAGATCTGTTTGGCATTATGAGGCACTGCTTACTAGGTGCAGACTTTAACTGATGTACAGCATAAATTAGATTCCTAAATTAATAGGCAACAAAAAAAATTGAGCACTCTGTTGCCCAGGCATCAACTATCAGTTCTATAATACCGTAACAACCTTAGCACAGCCTGATCCCATTTCCCCCACTTCTTGAATAGAGAAATGGGAACAAATCTTGCAAAGCAGCTGTTCTGCTGTTCAGAAGAGAGAAAAAACAAATCCAAATGAATCTTAAGATGGTTTTACAAGCATAAAAAGTACTTAACACTGACTTGATGTGTTTAGCTCTTTTCTTTCTTTTTGTAAACTCCAGCAAGGTCAGATTAGGAGGGAAATTTCCTGGGCTTTCTTCGACAGTATCTTAGTAGTGTTCCTGTTGCCATCATTAGTGCAATGGTATTTGTCGTTAGTCACCTATATGAATCTTGTGCAAATGTACAGAAGCTTTTATTTTAAGTAGGTCTCTGTTTGAATTAATGCTCCTCCAAAGAGAACGGCAAACCTCCCCCACCTCTTTCTATTCATGTTACGCAAAACAGTTGACACTTCACTGCCCAAGTACACACCAGATCTCTTTCCTTTCACTTCTCTGTCTCAGATGATCGAACAGGAAAGTAATTTTTTGTGCTTGAATGAATCAAGAACTGTTCCTTCATGCCTAAACTACTGAGTGTTAGATCTACTGAGCTGGATGAGCTCAGCAAGCCCTTCCAAATATAAGCTAAATAAAACGATATATACACCAGGTAAATCTCTCAACCCTGCCTCGTTAAGTCAGTTGATTATTCCTGCTTTTGAAAGGTGCAATACACCAAGCGTTGCTACAGCCTGTCCTCTATTCATTTCAAAGAGAGGCGGATGAAGCATCACACACAAAGCCTGTTGAAATGAATAGAGAACTTGCAAAAGCTACGGTTGGTGAATTCCGACCCAAATCACTAGTGTCCCCATGATAAACTTCTCATCTCAAATCCAAAGCATTCCTGAATTTATGATATGTTAACAGAAGTAAGTTGAGCTGATCACTCCTTAGTAAATAAAAATAAATAGCATCTAGTCTATCATGTTAATACTGTGAACATATATAATTTTTACATTAATTCAAACATAACAGTGAAAAAGATTGTACTGTATCACCACAGACCCGTATTCTTTAGAAAAGCTTTGGAAAATTAAGTGTCACAGTCCTATAGGACAAACTCCATGATTAGTAATCAAAATGGATTTTTTTTAAGGAAAAAAAAATACATTTTTAATGGCACGCTTTGCTAATCTTTCAATGGACCTAAATAAATGTATAATAAACTCCTTTTTCTTCCTGAAATAATTCCATTATTCATTCTACGAAAAACTTAAAACAGCACAATGAGAGACATTCAAGAACTTCAAAAAATACTTTTTTGCCCATAGACCCCCACAGACTGTTCATCTAGAAGACAGCAAGGGGCAAACCAGGATTCTCCCCTTTTGCATCTCAATACTAAACCATTTGTGAATGCATCCAAAATGACTGAGGATTTAAATGGCACCGAATTAGCACTTCATTTTCTTTTCAGGAATAAAAGCAAAATTCATAGGTTTTTCACCAACCCATTAAGCCTGATCTTAATTGGGTATTTTCAGATTAGTTACAAACAAGTATATCTGTAGAAAGGCATAACTAAATGAAAGGTGTTGTTTTTAGCCCTGAGATCACAGCTCTAGATTTAGTTACAAAAGGTGGGTTTTGATTTGTTTCTTTTTTGTTCCTTTCTTCCTGACAAGCAGCTTCTGATTTTGGCAAATCCAAACTTCTAATAGCTGTGCAATTTTGTACAGGTCTGCAGTTTGCAATCAAGTCTGAAATTCCGGACGGAAGGCTTCCTTGCAAATGAAAAAACAATACTAAAAATTAAAACCTAATAAAATTATGATGCATCACTCATTGCTGGCTGTCGCTGTAGCTGGGGCAACTGTTGGTCTAAGTGCAGCTGGTCTCCTGTGAATCCAACTTGGAACTGAGTTACTTAAAGCACTGCAACATGTCAAGCGAAGTACATGGTGCGCAATGTATCTTGATGAACCTGAACGGCTTTTGCAAGTGCTTGGTGATCTCTGCCATTGCTCTGACCAGACGTATGACTCCCTTCGGCACTAGAAGATAAGAGGGGGAAGAGGAAAGACAAAACTCACTTTATTTATCTACCCTGAGATAATTTTCCACTTAAGGCAATTCTGATGTTTCTAAACAGTGTATTCAGTTCGTATCAGAGCATCTTTTAAAAATTAAAAAGCATGCACTCTACAAGAAATCTAGCACACTTAGGGCCCATTATTAAGCCAAACTCTTTTCCCTGAGCAGGGGAAAATTACAGGCAACTCCAGCTGGAGAATCAAAAATCTCCAACTGGCTCCAGTTCACTATGCTAAAACAAAATGGTTCTTGGTCTGGTACATCTGCTGTAGGAATACTGCTAAACCTGAGACATCCCAAAACCGTAACATGGTTTGAGTGTGAAAGGACCCAGAAATCAAAGATGTAAGGACAGATACACATATACACACACAATAATATAACCCCTTTAAAAAGTTTCAGTTACTCATTGGTACTTACTTCTGTAAAGCTATGCATAGGATCGCACTGTTATTTGATTATCTATTCTCAGTACTATGCTACTATCCTAGCCTTGGTTGTTTGAAGATACAATTATCTTCCTAGATTGATGGATTTTTATCTGGATTTATTTTATGTTTATCTAATTTTTAATTTAATCTGTTGTTCACTGCTTCGTGGGCCTTTGGGTAGATAAGCAATAAATGAATACATTTTAATAACGATGAATGACAATTTGAATGTCTCTACATAAAAATTGTGGTTCGTTGTTATTATTAATCACAAGAAAGTGAGCTAGGAAATACTTTCATGGAGCTAGGTTAAGGTAAAGGGACCCCTGACCATTAGGTCCAGTCGTGGCCGACTCTGGGGTTGCGGCGCTCATCTCGCTTTATTGGCCGAGGAAGCTGGCGTACAGCTTCTGGGTCATGTGGCCAGCATGACTAAGCCACTTCTGGCAAACTAGAGCAGCGCACGGAAACGCAGGAGCGGTACCTATTTATCTACTTGCACTTTGACGTGCTTTCGAACTGCTAGGTTGGCAGGAGCAGGGACCGAGCGACGGGAGCTCACCCCGTCACAGGTATTCGAACAACAGACCTTCTGATTGGCAAGTGCTAGGCTCTGTGGTTTAACCCACAGCGCCACCCGCATCCCCAGCTGAAGATGCACTCATGTAATTTACTCATCCAAGCTCAACCACCGGCTGAGTAGAAGTTGGTATAAGCCCCCCAAACAGGGTGTTTTGGGGGCATGGAGGGGGCGGGACCAAAGGAGGGGGAACTTAAGCTGGAGCCAGTTGCCTTATACTGAGTCAGTCCATTGGTCCATCTAACTCAGTGAGCCTGCACAGGTAAAGGACCCCTGACAGTTAAGTCCAGTCGCAGACGACTCTGGGGTTGCGGTGCTCATCTCGCTTTACTGGCCAAGGGAGCCGGCATTTGTCTGCAGACAGCTTCCGGGTCATGTGGCCAGCATGACTAAGTCGCTTCTGGCGAACCAGAGCAGCACACGGAAACACCGTGGAGCCAGGAGAAGCAAATTATACAGCCTCCGGGCAAGCTACACACAGACTTGCACTCTGCCCATTTCCATCAGTCCCAAGCAAGTTTCTCACCTATCATGTTCTTTATCCACCAGATGATACCTGGCTCTGAAGGCAACCAGGTGTGCATAGTATGCTGGTGCAGGGATTGAAACAGAACGAGTACAGCGTACATATGTATGACACAGTTGGTAGGTAAGGATTTGAAGCTCATCTGAAGAGAAACGATTGTCATCCCAGAGAACGTGGTAATGAGATGGCCTGCTTGTCCCCTGAAAAGAGCACAAAGAAGCAGAGGTTTTCTCCTTCCACTAGTCAAGACCTAAATGGACTGAACACACCACACTGAATTTCTATAAGCTACCCTATGAATAAATATAAAATATATCTATATAGATATAGATGAAATAATTCCTTTCATTTGAAGGAACCTATGAGTTTCATTCAAACCCCGCCCAGAAGCTTAACTATGATTTGTTTATTGCCAACAAGTCACAATCTGAAAAGCCATGCTTTGCTGTTGGCTAACAAATCTTGGTTTGCTTTAGCTATGGCATGTTAGGTGCAAACTTTGAACACTTTCATAACCAGAATTTGGCCACCTCACCTCAGACCATTACCAAATTACAAAGGGACAAGGCAAGAGCAGCTGGAAAACAAACCAGGCTGTGGAGAACCAAGCCATGGTTTGCTTGATCGTCTTTGCGATATTTCGAGGTTAACTCGTGGTTTGTTAAAACAAGCCACAGTGTTAAATGAAACCAGGCCAATCTTAGTACAAACCTATTACTGTTGTTGGACAAAGAAGGTGCCCAAGACAGAGGAAGCTCAAAAGAGGTTTGACACATGCTGGGCTATAAGAAAAAGATTAAGTGAAGATAACTTGGTTCATCCCACTTTTGGAGTGTGCACCAATTCAGAATTGCTAGTTTAGGGGTTGCCGCAAGCTTTTTGGACCAGTGGTCACATTTTGGAATTTTGATTTTGAAAGAGTGCTGGAGGCACCAATCACAAAACAGCTGCTATGGCAACATGGAATCCCTTCAAGATTTCTTTTTTAAAAAAATGTTTCTTTTTATACTTTCTAAATATTTCATGAACCCCTTTTTACCCATAATTTTAAATTTATTCTCATATAATATACCGTTTATTTATTTTGAAAATTTATAAACCACTTACTAAAAATAAAATAAAAATCTCCAAGTGTTACACATATTCAATTATATATGAAATATAATTAAAATATACAAACCAATTAAAAACAAACATACATAAAACAATGGTTTTAAAATAAAACATTTAAAACAAATGTAACTCAATGATGCATCTGGACAGGCTTGCTGAAACAGAGGTTTTCAGCAGGCATCTAAAGCAGTACATAGTGAAAGCACCGGCCTAATATCAATAGGCAGGGAGTTCCAGAGCACAGGGGCTGCCACACTAAGGGTATGTGGTACAAGGAAGAATAAATAATAAATCTAGGACACACACAGCTAAAACGCACAGGAGACAGAATAGTCATAACACGGTTGATCTACAGAATGAGATGACACATTAAGAATATACCTGAATACCAGCATGACTACACAGATAGAAGTCAAACTCTGAAGGGTGGGTGATTTTTGTGTCCACTGTTGTACCTGCTGGAATGTTTCCGCTTTTCCCGACCTGTGCAAACAAAAAATAATGAGACTTAAGCTTTTGTTTCTTCCCGTCTGTACTATGAAGCTGCAATAAAGGAGCAAGCAAATGTGCATTTGCTTAAAAGGTTGTTTAGATGCTACAGTCTAAATGGTTGATGAGCGTTTCTCTTTTACGATCGGCTTCTGCTGGATGGGGCTGGGCTTCCTATTTCAACACCTTGCAGGCTGTTGCTTATTGTCAGCCTCTTTACAAAATGTGATACCCACCCTTTCATTTTTGTCTGTACAGAAGAGTCTGGTGTGATGCCTTTTCTGCACAACAATGAATGTGATTCCAGGCTGGTAGTCTTTTTCTAGCTTAATACATGCTTCTCTGATAGCTAGCAATTCATGATGGAGGACCTACAGGAAAAAAGAGGGGAGGGGGTGCAGGAAATGTAACATTCTGAAATGTCACAAACACATAGACACTAGAAGGAAAATGCATTTTTTTAAAAAAAAATCTGATTGTTTACATTTTCAGAGCTTGCTTCAGGTATTTCCCCTGCAGCAGAACAGGTGATCTTAAGACCTATCCTACATTCTTCACTTAATGAGATTAAACGAGATTGCTGAGAACTTGGAGGAAGATCAACATTATAATAAAAACCTGTATAGGTCCAGGCATGCTGCGGTGTTTGGCAAACACCACATTTTCCAGTGCTGTTAATCAGCCACATATAGACTTTCAAATCTAAGGTTCAGACAACACTGAAATGAAAGGTTTATGGATAGAGAGCGAGGGCCACGGACCTTGCCTGTACCCTTCTCATTTGCAAATCCCCCAGCCCCTTCTGTCCAATTGCAGCATTATACAAGCGTTTGAGGTACCCTCCCAAACTAATTTTGAGAACCCGGCTTTAAAAAAGCTTTCATATACATATATAAACCCCAGAGAGATACCATCATAGCTGCAACAAGAATACAGTAGGCACACAATTCTGGGGATTGTGCCTAAAGCCAAAATAGGCAAAACCCATTGGATTCAATGGTGGGTGGGAATGCCAAAGTCATTTTTCCTGGAACCCCACACCTTCTCAACCCCTTCTTCTTCTTCTTCTTATTTTTTTAAATAGCCACACACGTAAAGCTGAATGAACACAAGTTGCGGGTTTTACGCATTCAAATAGCTCTGTTAAGGACTGATCCTATTATAATTTCAAGATTTTTGTGCTGGGGCACTCAGTGACTTTTATTCTTACAAACAGGTGTGCCTGGGATCAAGATTCCTTGGCTCAGTGGTCAGCCATTACCTGTGGTCTGCACTAAGCCCCTCCCCCCTTTCTCGAGTCTCTGGCTCTTGCCAGAGAGGAGAAGAAACAAGCAGTGAGAGACTCATGTCTTCTGCAGAATAAAGGGAGAGGGCTCTTCTATCAGCTCACACCAGGCAGCACTATAGATGGGGACTTCTGCCACTTGTTCAGAGCACAACATGATACAGTGGTACCCCGCAAGACGAACGCCTCGCAAGACGGAAAACCCGCTAGACGAAAGGGTTTTCCGTTTTGGAGGCGCTTCGCAAAACGAATTTCCCTATGGGCTTGCTTCGCAAGACGAAAGCCCATAGGGAAATCTCCGGGGACCTCTTTTAAATGCTAGCGGTGGGGAGCAAAGCCTTTCCCCCCCCTCCGGCCTTCAGAAGAGGTCCAGGAAGGCTGGCGGGGGCCGAAAGGCTTTGCTCCCCACCGCCAGCATTTTAAAAGCAGTCCGGGATAGCAGGGAAGCGCTTCCCGCTATCCCGGACGGCTTTTGAAGGCAGGAGAGGTCCGCGAAGCCTGGGCGCGCTGATCTCAGCGCGCGCAGGCTTCGGCATGCCGGCAACTCACCGCAAGCAGCGGCAGCGCTGCCGCTGCTTGCGGAGAGGTCCGCGAAGCCTGGGCGCGCTGATCTCAGCGCGCGCAGGCTTCGGCATGCCGGCAACTCACCGCAAGCAGCGGCAGCGCTGCCGCTGCTTGCGGAGAGGTCCGCGAAGCCTGGGCGCGCTGATCTCAGCGCGCGCAGGCTTCGGCATGCCGGCAACTCACCGCAAGCAGCGGCAGCGCTGCCGCTGCTTGCGGAGAGGTCCGCGAAGCCTTGGCCGGACAGCTTTTGAAGGCAGGCGGGGGGGGGAGCAAAGACTTTTGCCCCCGCCAGCCTTCAGAAGAGGTCCTGGACCTCTTCTGAAGGAGGGCGGGGGGCAAATGTCTTTGTCCCCCCTGCCTGCCTTCCCGGGAGAGCGGAGAAACGCAGCGCGTTTTTCCGCTCTTCCGGGAGGGCTTTTAAAGGCAGGCAGGGGGGACAAAGACTTTCGCCCCCCGCCAGCCTTCAGAAGAGGTCCAGGACCTCTTCTGAAGGCTGGCGGGGGGCAAAAGTCTTTGTCCCCCCTGCCTGCCTTCCCAGGGGCTTTTAAATCGCCCCGGACAGCGGAGAAGTCCTCCGCTGTCCGGGGCAATTTTAAAATGCCGCCCGCCAGCATTTTAAGATCGCCCCGGACAGCGGAGAAGCCCTCCGCTGTCCCGGGGTTTTTTAAAATGCTGGGGGTGGGAAGAAAAGCCCTTGTTCCCCCCCCCCCCCAGCCTTCAGAAGAGGTCGGGGGACAGACTGTCCCCGGACCTGGTCTGAAGTCGGTTTCCCTAGGAACGCATTAATTGATTTTCAATGCATTCCTATGGGAAACCGTGCATCGCAAGACGAAAAACTCGCAAGAAGAAAAAACTTGCGGAACGAATTAATTTCGTCTTGCGAGGCACCACTGTACCACCATTTTGATGGGAGTGTTGGACAACAGCCTTGGACCTGCCACACTTGCTCAGCCTAATCTACCTCACAAAGTTATAGTGAGGGGAAGGAGCTACCCCCAAAGTCCTTCAAAGAAGGGTGGAAATACAAATGTAAGAAATAACCATACATCAACAAAAGCCATCTATGCAACCCTTCCTAAAACAATGCTGTACAAAGAACACAGCAAAATGTAAACATCAAAAGCGTATGTGGGGGGGAAGATAACCTGTTGGAATTGCCCCTCAGAAACACCATCTCTGTAGAAAATAATCCGAGTTGGTTTGAATCGGGTTGATTTGTAGAACTGAATGAGCAGCTCCCTGACCATGGCAGCCAAGTCTTGGATGATCTCTTGGCGGTGCTGCTGGACTCTCACAGTGGCACAGTATCGATTAGGGTGGGCATCCATACTACCTACAACCTGTTGGAGAACAAGAGAGTTGTTTCAATGAGCTGGTTCATCTAGGAATATGGGGTAGAAACAGGAGTTACCTCATATCCCTTTTCCAAGCAAGTCTTCCAAGATCTTTAAGAAGAGTTTGGATTTGATATCCCACTTTATCACTACCCGAAGGAGTCTCAAAGCGGCTAACATTCTCCTTTCCCTTCCTCTCCCACAACAAACACTCTGTGAGGTGAGTGAGGCTGAGAGACTTCAAAGAAGTGTGAAGGTCACCGAGCAGCTGCATGTGGAGGAGCGGGGAAGTGAACCCGGTTCACCAGATTACAAGTCCACCACTCTTAACCACTACACCACACTGGCTTTAATCATTCTAAAGGTGGCATTTTACTGAAGTAAACTTCCATTCAGTCTGCTAGGCTATCCTGTGTAGATGCCACCCTCTCCTTACAAGGAGGGAGGCAGGTGTTTGTCCAGCAGCATGGTTCCCCCCTTCCAAAAAAAAAACCATGCAGATTAGGGTTTTCTATTCCTTCTATGCCTAGAAGAAACAGAGGCTCTGCAACTATCCTGAAGCTTAACAGTGTCAACAGGGAAGACAAGACAGACGTGTATAAAATTTGTGTGGTATGGAGAAAGCATATCTCTCTTTCTCCCTTTCAAAAAAATTCCAGAATTCGGGGACTTAGGCAACTGTAATACTACTATGACGCATTGAATGCAGAGAAACCTATCTGAGTAATATGATATTTAAGGAGTATTCGTGAAGTAGGTACATGTACCAGCCCAACAAGCCTGTCACATCCTTAATTCGGCTACGAGGGCAAGCCACTAATTTACATCCAGGTTTAAAGAACCCACTGTGACCAAGCAAGGGATGCAATATTGAACCTCAATATTGTCTCACCTTGCATCCTCACCTGAATCATTTGCATGGGGCAAGAAAAAAGACACATTTGTGAGTCCTGCTTGGGCTCCCTTTCAGTGAAGGGACAATGGACCAGGAGCAGACTAAGCATTGACTACTGCTGTCATTATTCTTCATTTCTCACTACCTGGCTTGCAAACAGAAACCTCATCTAAATATGATTAAACTAGCAGAAGGGAACAGACCCAGAGTCTACAGCCACTCACTACAAATGCATGGGAAAGAAGGGGTCTTGTTTCAGCTCCGGGATGAAACCTTCAAAAAAACCTACTGGACAGAGAAGACTGCACCACAGTGTTTTGGTCCACTGGGGGGCACATGAAGAAAAGGAACTGCTCCCTTGCTAATGCAACTACTGAAAAACACTGTATGTATGGGGATGGGGGGGGTGGGATATGTTTGATGTGACCGATACACAGTTTACTCACAGCAGCAATGGATGGTTTTTTCCCATCTCCAGCTGGTGGATGAGTGACATCTGCACCCAGGAAAATTACAGGTTGCTGAAATACTGGAGGCCTAGATAATAAAAATAATAATAATGATACCGAATAGTCACATAGTAAGTTAACAGTCAGTATGGTAAGCCCACTTTTTATTGTTCCACAGTGGCATTACCAAACAGGCAGAATGGGAAATGGCTTTGCGCTAAGCTTCTAAAGGCACTCCAATGTGGCAAGAGTCTGGACTGCTTTCAAGTGCCTCTGGAATGCAGCATGATGTCAAGGGCAAGACCTGCCCTTTCCTCAATTTGGGGTGGGGCAACTACTGAGGCCAACCAAAATTTGTAGACATGCCAATAATACATGTGGATGCAATGTACAGCCTTTACACACACCCGACATTGATGGACCTGTTATTCAATAGCTGCTCCCCGTTTTAAACTTGGCAAAGAAGAAAAGATTGCTTATCTTTACGAAAGGGACTTATACTTTGGTTCACAAATGCATGTTTCTCTTAATTAGTGGGAAACAAACAAACTTTAAAATGGCATTTCCCATTTAGTCACTCTTTGGGGCATTACCAGATATATATGCTTAATATAGTCAGGACTTATTTTTGCAGCCTCTAAAGATGTGTGCCCAGTTTTGGGTTTTTTTTACTCCCCCCATCCCACTATTTCAGCTTGAGACGCACCCAACCCTAGCATGTTTATCATAAATGCAACTCTTAGCAATCCCTCAAGCACAATGCAACAAGATGCAAATTTCTTTCAAGTCTAAACTACGTATTATTTTCCATTGGTTTTATCCTGGCCATCAGGATTCAATGAACAAGGCAACTTTCATTTTGCGCTCTCTCTCTCCTCCAGCTACAGAATTAATCAAGCATTATGTGTATCAGATTCCAGGTTTTTAGTCTCAGTATGTTAATTAAAATCTAGCCATGGAAATAAACTTTTTTAAAAGCAGTCCTACAGGACAAAAAAAACTATGTTGCACTGAATATAGCTATTTCTCAGAAAATTAGGCTGCAATGGATGTGCACATTTATAAACTGTCTACTTACTCAATTGTTTACACACAGGAAACCCCTTACCTTCCCTGAGGCAGTAAAATGTTATTTACTCCTCCCAGTTTGACATTGATCTTTAAGCACAGATTGGAAAGTGTCTGTGGCGTCGTTCTCTGCACATTTTTCATCTGCACACACTGTGTGGCCATGCCGAGCACAGTATCACCAACACGCTTCACCTCAGCTGCCAAGTGAAAGAGAGACCCAGTCAAGTCACTCTGGCACAGAAGATTATCAGACAGACTACCTCTCGATATGAAAATAACCATACATTAAAATCAGGAACACCAGAGTGTTTTCTACAGATGTCACTGTCATCTAATACAAGTTGGGGGGGGCGCTTCTTGGGGGGGGGCTTCTCAGTAATGATGGTGCTCCGATTCTGGATGATCGCCCCAAAGAGACTCACCTAGAGTTTACGATCATTATATTTCAACACCAGGTAAAGACATATTTATTTCCCGTCTTATTGCTTTACAGATGCTGCTTTAAGATCTACTGTCTTTGTCTGTTATTTCACCAGTTTTGCTGCGTTTTTCTCTCTCTCTTTTTTTTGCAAGCCAACATGGGATAGTATATAAACACTTATAATAAACAAACAAGTTTTGTATATAAATGTAAAATACACCATGTTATCAACTTTCTGTGGAAAAGGAGTATGCGTAAAATAACATATATTAAGTCTATGAAATGGGATGTGATTTAAATAATGCTGAGGGTTTCATTTCAAAGAATTATTGTATACTAATGAGCATGTATTCCCATTGCTGTTATTCACCTTCCAAAATGATTGGGCAGGTCTCTGACAACGTTTATTGAATGGGCTTCTGATGCTTAGGTGATCTTGACAAAAAGACTGCTCAGCAGCATACACACAGAATACCACACACACATACAAAATTATTTGTATGCTGCCTTTCCAGACTTAAATCCATGCTTACAACATGAAAAAAGTACATACTTACAAAGATAACAAAAATTAGTCATAAGCAACAAGCAAAACGCATCAAAAAGCACACAACCAAACTGAACCATTTCCACATGGCTTAATCATAAGATGATCTAAATATAAAGATTAATATCAAGAGCAGCAGCAACAAAAACCCATTAAAAAAACCCCTAATTCCTCAGTTCAAGAGTCTGTTTAGCAGCCTCAATTACTGAAGCTGGAGTCAGCCAGGGCCCCGCCTTCCCCGGCCAGGTGTGAAATGGCCTGCAAGACAGGGAGCAGCTCTTCCAGGACTCACAGCCAAGATAAACACAAAGCTTTCTTCCCCTGATGCTTATCATGCTACTTCAGAAAAAAGTGCAAAGCCAAACAGTCAATATTGCACTGCACACCAGAGAACTACATCAGGCAGTTCCTCTGGGAACAGTATGCTGCTGCATTAAAGGAAATCTGTACAGAAACATCTAGAACACTATGAAATGCCAAGGCAATAAAAGGCCACACTGCATAAATTTAAATAGGTAAGTCAAATGTAACCCCTATATACTGACCATAAACTGGAGTTTTTCCTGGCAGAATGACTACTACGAGCTGCAATCCGGCGTAAGTGTTTTTTAGATGTCGGAACATTGGTTCCACGCTATCTGCTCCCTGGGCATATTTACAGAAACAGGGCTGACCCTGGATGGGCATTCCTGCATCTCGTGATATCTTCCTCAGTTGTTCTGTGAAGGACCTAAGAATAAAAATGAATCAAGGCACACATTTAAAGGAATGGAACCAGCACTTCACACTCATTACAACCAATATAGCCTTGTTGGCTTGAGTGACACTTGAGTGTCTGCAATTTCCATATTTCTGATTATAGAACTCTTCTATTTCCATCCTTGGGGAATCCTCTAAACACTCAGGCCTATATACTGCTGCCAAGCAGATTCATGCCAATTCCTTTCCCTCGCAAAACAGCTACACTCCTACATGCAAGCAGCTGCACATATACTCCAAGGAAATAAGCAGTGTCTATATTCCCAAATGTGAACACGCACTTCAGGTTTCAGGGACCAAAACTCTCCTGACAGTTTATTATCAATAGTAAATTTGGAGTGGTTTATAAATAAAACTAGTATTTATTTACCAAAGTACATGGAACCTTACAGTTTCAGAAGCAGGGGACAAATCCATGTCCAAACACTTTAAGGCTGCATTTCTATGCATAAATGCTTGGAAGTAATAGCCCTGAAGTCAGCAGAAGTCCTTTCCAAATTATGGTGCCTAGGTGCAGTCTTTACATTTTTGCAGTTCCCATTTCACACTAGCCAAATGCAACCGTCTAGCCTTAAAAGTATGCAACATTTCTAATACGTATCTGAAGAAGTGTGCATGCACACGAAAGCTTATACCCAGAACAAATTTAGTTGGTCTCTAAGGTGCTACTGGACAATTTTTTCGTTGCCAATAAGTAAATGAATACAGTGGTACCTCGGGTTAAGAACTTAATTCGTTCTGGAGGTCCGTTCTTAACCTGAAACTGTTCTTAACCTGAGGTACCACTTTAGCTAATGGGGCCTCCCACTGCTGCTGGGCTGCCGCCGCACGATTTCTGTTCTCATCCTGAAGCAAAGTTCTTAACCCGAGGTAATATTTCTGGGTTGGGGGAGTCTGTAACCTGAAGCGTCTGTAACCCGAGGTACCACTGTATTTATTTGTATGAGATATCTGCTCCCCAATACTTCAATTGTATTAGTTGTATTTCTCACATTTCTGGAGGAGTGCATAGTTCTGCTGTTATGTTTAGAAAACTAATGGAATGCTTAATACTTTCAGAAACTATGAGAACACATTCAAAATCACTACCTGAACACGACTTCGATCCCTAACAAACTTACTTAAGGTGGACTTCAGTGCACTGGCGCTGTGGAGCAAAGCAAGCAATTGCCCAGACCTTGATTTCAATTCCAGTGTGAAACTGTTTGTTCCTCATATCCCAAACTCCTTGAACTGGTGTAGCTATTGCTTTGTTCTAGAAAGAGAGAGAAAACATAGTAGTGAGTGGTTTACTGCACAAAATAGCTCTGTGCTGCAATGGCTTTAAATACCTCGGTATCAAAATAGCAAGCCTCTACACATTCTGGGGAAACCATTAAATCTTCCAAGGCATCTTGATCAGTCTCCCCCTTGGCCAGGAGTAAATGCATCCCAGACCCAGAATAAACCATGACTTCCGATCTCTGTATCCTTTTCCCTGCACACAACAAACTACATGTACAATCATCCACGAGCTATATTGGTAACATCAGTGGAAAAGACTGTCAGGGTAACTGCATCTATTGACAATACATATTTTTCTTGGCCAAATGCTAAAGGGCACCATTTGAGACTGCAAGATCTTCTACGGTATCACTGGAACAACTCCAAGAGAAAAGTATGTGCAAAAGATTCCCCGCACTGAAACCTCTCCACTGGGAAGAAATAGGGGGACAAGAGAGTAACCCACCCTCCTGTAGATAGATACTCAGAGTATTCACATAGCAGCATCTGAAAGCCACACACAGTAAAATCTGAAACTGTGGCTAAGTACAGCACTAACCATTATTCAACGTCCTTACATACAAACCGGGGGGGGGGGGTGATCACTGCAGATCCCACAGGATCTTGGTTTACATACCCTGCCTCCGTAGAGAATTGAAGGAGGCTGTAGGACCCGCCCAGTCACATCCGTCATTTCATCTTTCACCATTATTCCAAATTCACGAACGAAAGGGTCAGTATTAAAACTTGCACTTCGCATCTAGAAACGAAAGATAAACCAATGATGAGACAAATCCTTCATTACAATACAGTTCAAAACATCGAATTTGTCCGGATATGGCTCAGAAAACAGAGTGGGAATGAGCAGTTTCTGAGAACTGAGACTGAAGGACAATGTTATATGAATACCTGCTGCTTTTTGTCATTTATTGTTCCCTGGCCTTCAGCCCCTCTTACACGGCTCCACATTTCTACCATATTCCTCTCTGTTTGCTAAAAAGTTATCAAGCTCTTTGAAAGTCCAAACCTGGGAGGCAGTGTTATGTTTAGTAAATGCACCAGACATAGATGATTTATGCCAAGACCGGAATTTGTGTTTCCTTTTTGCACACCATTATACTATTATTAATTATTATCATCATCATCATCATCATCATCATCATCATCATTTACTTAGGCCTCCCCAGTCACTCTGGGTGGCTCCCAACAGGATATTAAAAACACAATAAAACATCAAGCATTAAAAACTTCCCTAAACAGGGCTGCCTTCAGATGTCTTCTAAAAGTCAGATAATTGTTTATTTCCTTGACATCTGGTGGGAAGGCATTCCATAGGGCGGGCGCCACTACCGAAAAGGTCCTCTGCCTGGTTCCCTCTAACCTCACTTCTCGCAGTGAGGGAACTGCCAGAAGGCCCTCGAAGCTGGACCTCGGTGTCCGGGCTTAGCTATGGGGGTGGAGACGCTCCTTCAGGTATACAGTGGTACCTCAGGTTAAGAACTTAATTGGTTCCGGAGGTCCGTTCTTAAGCTGAAACGGTTCTTAACCTGAGGTACAACTTTAGCTAATGGGGCCTCCCGCTGCTGCTGTGCTGCGGCTGTGCGATTTCTGTTCTTGTCTTGAAGCAAAGTTCTTAACCCGAGGTACTATTTCTGGTTAGCGGAGTCTGTAACCAGAAGCGTCTGCAACCTGAGGCACCACTCTGTACTGGGCTGAGGCCATTCAGGGCTTTAAAGGTCAGCACCAACACTCTGAATTGTGCTCGAAAACATACTGTGAGCCAATGAAGTTCTTTCAGGACCGGTGTTATATGGTCAAGCTATACCCTAATTCCAGGGGCAGAGGAAGAGGACTCACCAGTTTACTAATCTCTTCTTGACGATCAGGTGCTGATCTAGCAGTTGCTCTTATCATAGTGGAAGTTTGATTGTCTGTCAGCTTCTTTATACACCTCTGTCCTGCCACTATGTTGCATACCTGTACAAAGAACAAACACAAATTAGTTTTTTAAAAAATATCCAGGGGAATAGACATACTACTCTGTAAAATAGCAAAGAATCTTATGGAACCTTAAAGCTAACAAGATAGACAGCGATATAAGGATGTTAGAAACTGTTATTCTAGATTTGAGTGATATCCCATTGAAGGAACTGGTCAAGTTCAAAGCTATTCGGCAGTACCAACAAACATTTGATTGGGCCTCAGATAAATCAAATCTAAACAAACATACATTATAACTTCATGCGAAGCAATCCCCAAAAGGCATAAGAGAGTCCCATTATCTTCTAGGTGTTTACAAACATGAACCACACCAGGTCATTTGAGAGAATGAGAAGCCACTGCACACCCAATATCCCCATTGAGCCAGCCCTTCACTTGGCCAATGCCATAAGATCAGAGCTGGTCTGGATAAAGGAAGGAACTTTCCACTGAATAGGCTCTATAAGCACTTCTGGCATTGGTTTTATTCCCCCCTAATATGGAGGGGAATGGCAGCCAATAGGAAACAGCTTTTCTACTCCAGCTGGCCATTAAATAACTTGTAACTAAGATCTTGTATGTGAGCTTAGATATTTCCTCCTTCCTCCCAGTTCAGTGTATGTGTGTGTGATGCCTTTTTCCACTGTAAGCCTGATCTGAAAGTCTTCTTTGGTTAAAGAGCAAGGTTAACATACTTTAAATATATAAAAACATATCAACCTTTCAACTAAACTACTTCGACAATGGAAGGAGGGGGAACCTGTTAGAACTATGGAGTATTGCCGATCCTCCTACACAGAAAAGCAGTGACTTGCCTCTAGAGGGAGATATGTGTGTTTCTGCTCCTGTCCAACTTGTAAACATGGAAGATGAGGGTATCGTAAAACCAGCTTGTGCCTATCTTTAAAGTATTGAGCTACAGTGCATTCAACGGTCTGTCCACTCTCCTGCTGAAGCGGGAATCTACGGAAAGTCAAATGTGAGGAGGGAAATGCAAGTTAGTGATTTCACAAACTGTCCCACAATGCAACTTTACAGGGGCTCACATCAGCCTCCAGACACTATATAGTCATAATACTTAAACGCTTTGCCTTTTCCAGCTCCCAGAGACTAAGTGTCTACAGGAAGCCACAAAAGGCACTTTCACTGTTTCTACGTTCACTGGCTACAGTCAAACCACGTTATGTTTCTAATAGAGTTTCAATCACCCTTTGAAGATAAATCACAGCAGTTATAATTATCCTTAAATCAGAAAACACTACCCAGATAATGTATTTGGCTTCTTTGAATAACAGTCATAATTGAAGCTCCTACCATGTTTTTCACTGACTATCTGAAAGAAGATTTATACAAGCTTCCAACATCAGAATAAAACCTGAAGGAGCAAAATTAAATCAGCCTAGAAGGGTCTGGAACAAAAGGGACATGCAAAGCCTCAAGGAAGCTGCTTTTTCTGGCATTAGAAGAGGCATTATTTAACAAGGGATGTCACCAACTCAAAGTAACTTCTTCAAGTTCTCAATCTTGTCATATATCGATGGAAGGTTTATAGTCAATGAGCATGAAAGAAGGTGCTGCATCAAATAAGGACAGAGGAAGTAACAACTCTTAATTGCAAAAAAATCAAAAAGAAAATATTACGTTTGGTGACTTGCTGGTCGTCTGGTAACATTGCATACTCGGTATTTTCTCTTCATTTGCCCGCAGTGAGTGATTTCCACCTTCAGACCTAATGATTTAGGAGCATAAGAACTCAGTTTTGTTTCCTAGAAAATTTACTAGTACATATTTGAAAATTAATAGGGGAAATGGTTCTATTTGAAATACCTGTTTTAAAAAAACCCAAAGCCTGCATTTCAGGAGACTTTATTAAATAAACATTAACTAAATTTTAACAATATGATTACCTTATTTCCAAGTGACTTGGGTTAATGTAAGCTGAACAAAATTTAATCACTAAATAACTTGAGTGTGATGGGCTGCCAGGGCTCGCTGATCCTTTACTACCACCTGGCACTTTAAGTAGGCCCCAATCCACACCACCAGGCACCAACCAGGCAATGACCACATTTGGACACTGCCTGGAGACACCACCTGGGGCATTCTCCTTTTGCTGCCTGCCAGCAAGGAAGGAGCCCAGCTGTTGTGCCTTAAGAATGTTTCAAAACAAAGCCCTCCACACATGCTTAAGCAGGAGTGAAAACTGAATATGCTTTTATACAACTGGGTCATAACATTCATACATGCAGAAGCCCACAGGAATTACAAGTCTTGGGGAAAATCAAGTCCATTTAAAATATGCATCAATCAAAACCAGTTTGGTTGACGGCAAGAATGTTGATCTTCTTACAGCCCTAGTTTAAATTCCTTCCAAACTGAATGACCAATTCATTAACAATCAACCACATTCTACTGCACGATTGGAGACAATTTACTATAAGGTAGCCTTCTGAAACTCTCAATATTTGTTCCACACAGACAATCATGTTTGTTTCTTTCAACTTTCTTACCTTTAATTTCTTTGGTAAACTTAACCCTTTGGGAATCTGTCAGAGGTTTCTGTTGTTCTTCAATACTTTTGAAATCCAAAACTTCACATACGAACTCAATTACAGGTTGTGCCTTGTAAAATGCTGTTGCAGATACTAAAAATCAAAAGGAAAAATACAGGAAATGAATGACACACAAATCTTACAGATCTAAGAAACCTGACTAAAAAGCACTTTCAGACAACGTAAACAAGTGCAAATGGTGAAGTGACACAAAGCATACCATCAATGTTAAGCATCATTTTCCACAGTGAAGGCCTGACGGACTGATGGAATCCAAACCAAACTTCTCTGCCGCCACCCAAGGGATTAGAGCACCCTTCTGATGCAGTAAAAAAGGACCGTCCCACAGGAGTGTACCTACAAGAGAAAGTGAATATATTATTCAGCGGGGGGAAATGGAGGGAGGGGGGAGCTGTATTATTCCAAACACATTCCTGGTCCAACTACACTAGGGTGAAACTAGGGTTTCACGTGCCGTGCACATCGGGCCGCTGAAAAATATTATTGGTAAATAATATTGTTCAATGGCCCTATGTGCACGGCATGTTAAACCATGGTTTAAAAGCTATCTATGGTTTATAGTGAATGAGCAGCATGCTGTCACCTGCTGCTCAAAAGCTTACGCGGGGCTCCTCCCCAGTCCTGCTGCCGGCACACCACAAACCAAATAAGCATTCAGTGTCATCCAAGGCTGGGTTCATGATTTGTCCCTTCAGCCCCCACCCCGTGCTGTGAACAAACCTTAGTTCCCACTTGTGGTGCATTGAGAAACAAGTCACAAGACCATGTTTGGGCAGCATAAAAATGCAGACACTGGCTTGTTTCATCTGAGCCACAGTAGCAAGACCACGTGGGTGAGGAGCATCGCAGAAGCTTTTAAGCAGCATGCCCTGGCACACCACTTATGCTTGCTCACTCACATTAATCCAGTTTGTTTTAAACTGTGTCTAATATGATATGCAAACTACGCCAGTATCCAGCAAGGTCCATGGGATCTCATTAGAATCCCTGTAACCATCTTTGGGACATCTCTGGATTTATTTTTATGCAACAATAAAAAGCATTATGGTTGAAAGAAGAAAGGCATGGATAAATGGGAGAAAGGAAGGGTGCAGCAAAAACAGAAAAAGAGAGAAAGAGGGGTAAACAGCTGCCAGTCCTAAATCCCTGAATCTTTTGTCCTCATTTCAACATCTGCCTTCAGAAGTTCCCTTTAATTCCAGTTGATGAGCAGCTTCCAATTTGCAGGAGTTTTGCATGCCACCACCTGCCTCTTCCATTCACACAAATAGTAAAGTGTGCGTGCACACATACAGTGCACTACAGTTCACATCAAGACGTTGTTGATGTAGATGCAAAATTCCCAAGTGTAATTTTGTTTAGCTCCAGCACTAAAACTTCCCTAAAGACCTATATTAACATTTCCCTTACCTCATGGAAGGCAAGTGCCTCATTACTACATCCAGCGCCTGAATTGTTTCAAAAGGAACACTTGGAAGACGACCAGAGAGAGCATCATGTAAAGCCTGCAGACTCACACCTGACATCCACTTTATTGCCACCTTGAATATTCTGTCCTTCCCTTCTCCCGGCAATGTGACCTCCAATTCCACCTGCAACATTTGGAAACCACAACAAGATGATTCTTTCTGTTTAAGCACACACTTTATCAGAACGGTCAAAGGGAAGCAAACTCTTCTGTATAGTGAACGCTCATTGACAACAACACAAAAAGACCCCACAAATAAAAATTTACTTAGACGGCTACTCCACACATGATTCAAGTGCAGTGATACATTTAAATAACAAAATAAAAACAGAGCAGCGGGGGGTGGGATGATGTAAGCCAAAAAAAAATTACTTCACTGAAAATCCTCAGCAAATTAAAAGGTTTTCCAAGTGCCAGGGAAAGACACCAGGCTCATTAACAGGAGAGCCTCCCTGGAGAGTTGGGGTGCCACAACTTAAAAGACTCTTTCTCGGATCTCCACCAGACTAACTTCTGAAAAGGGTCTCAAAATATTCAGAAATAATTATCCTGGATATTTTTTCTTTTCTCCACGTTGGATCATGTGCACCTTAAGATCACCACTGTGTTTTGGCAAAGCTGTTTTAGAAGCAACACTTGTGCTGTGATGCACCAACCGCAGGTAACAAACAAGGTAATGTGTCTGTAATGGCAGCATGGCTGGCCTTTTGTCTTCCAGCAATCAGCTCAGCCACTGTTCCTGTTATAGCTACAGCTGCACCATTAATTGTTATACAATATGAACATCTTATGAAAACCTTTATACAGTGTGAACTTTCAGAGCTGCTTTTCCACAGCAAACACTTTAAAGGTAACTACTGCTGTGTAAGGCATTTATTCCAACAATGAGACATCATCCTCATTATTATTTATTACCCATCTGACTGGGCTGCCCCAGCTGCTTTGCATGGCTTCCAAATCAAACAGCATAGGTGACACATGTGGTAAGGGTTTTCTTGGAAAACCCCACTGAAGCACTTCCCATTGTATAAGCAATATTGAAATCTTGATAGGATGAGTTACTGATGAACTTACAAAAACTCTACAAATTTTATAACCTTCATCTTATCACTGAAGCCTTGACACATGGGAAGCATGAAGCTCTGTCAAAACAATGAAATCGTACATGGAACATATGGAATCATAGTTGAAGCTGGCATTAAATACTTACTTTATCTCTCCCTATTGGAAGTGGTATAGCTGTATAGAGGTTTTTTCTTCCATCAAACACCGGCTTGCGCTCCCCAAATATCTGTCCTTTAAAGTGCTGGACCATGTGTTCAACTATTTCTCTGGAAACATTGTTGAAAGTGTTAAAATAAGCACCCATCCATGTTTATTAGTTATAGCTTTATAAAAGGATGAAAACCGAATTCAAACATCTGCTGAAACCCATTCAAGTCCTCCACTAATAATAATCAATGTACAGATCACTTGCACCTTACTTGTGGATTATATTCCAGGGATGGTTCATAAATCCAAAATTGTGTATAGTCAATACAATCCCTTGAAACCACCCACATGTGAGCAACCTCACCTTCTGGAGCTGGTGCACCAATGGATCTCACCCCACCAGCAAGGCACAGTACTTTTAAGCTCTCTGCCTTGCTTACTTGGCTCTGGGGGGCTCCTGCAAGAAAGCTTCCCAGAGCCCAGTAGGCAAGGCAGAGAGCTTAAAAGCTCTTTCTGTGCTGGGGCAACCCTGAGCAAAGGGAGCTTCTAAGTTCTCCACCTACCATGCATTTAATTTATGTGATTTCAAAGTTGAAATCACATATGTTGAACGCATGTAAGTTGTGAGTTGACTGACTATATCTCTGGAGCATTGAGAGCAATCCATTCATTGACAGACAGGGTAGGGAGGAGAGACTGTCTTGCCTAGAAGTTCATGGCAAAGGCAAGATTGAATCAATTTTTTTCTGCTTCAAAGCTCAGTCCTGATTAAAGTTGATGTTAGGCAGGAAAGAAAAGCTTACTCATAAAGCATTCCTTGCAACCAACTCCACTTTAAACCATGCCCTTAGCCACAACACATGCAACATTAATAGCTATCAGAGCAGAACCCATGTGTTCCATGCTGGATACCATAAAGATGACAGGTTAGCCACAATATGAATGCAGCTAGGATTTCTTAGCTTTTTGGTGTGCTCCCAACATCACTGGGAGAGGACAGCATGCAAATGCTACTTCTACTCCTCCATAACATCTGAATCAAGATAGGCTGTGAAAAGTCTGGATTGATGTCTGAATGCAGTGGTGGACTGGATAAGGGCCAATTAACTCTGCTTGCACTCTATGTGGCTGCCTTTAGGTTTGGTTTGGAAGCTCCGGCTGGTGCAGAGTGAAGCAACCAAACTGCTGATAGGGGCATCTGGTCAAGAACACGTGACACCATATTTCAAACAGCTAACTGGCTGCCCATTCACTACCGAGCCAGGTTCAAGGTTCTTGTATTAATTTACAAAGCCCTGAACAACTTAGGTCCAGGGTAGCCCAGGGATCACCTGAACCCTTATATCCCAGTTCGACCACTGAGATCATCTGCAGGAGCATAATTGGTCATTCCCCAAGTTGGCAAGGCTCACTTGAAAACAAGAAACCGAGCCTTTAGTGTCATCAGCCCAGTTCTGTGGAATACTCTGCCAATAAGAGATTCAGCAATTGTCCACGGTGCCGAAGTTTAAACATCTGCTTAAAAGTTTTCTAGTCCATCAGGCCTATGCAGGCAATTAAGTATACATGTCCCCATAACAGTTAATTGATGTCTTTAATGTGGTTTTTGCATGGTTGTATGTATTTTAGTTGTAAACCACTTTGATATTTTAATGAAACAGCAGCATATAAATATTTTTATACATGCAAATATAATAAACAAACAAATAAATAAGCTATTGCTTCTCTTTTTTAACGGCTTATTAGCCTTCAAATACAAGAGCTCCCTGGCAACCTTATCACATTAACCTTTGCAGGAAAGTCCTTCAATTCTCTATTCAAAAGCAAAAGATGGATAGGAGATAGCTAGGCTGTTATTGAGCTTCATACTTCCAGCTTTTTTAAAACAGAAACACATGCAATACCATTTGTATATATGGTAACCACAGCATGCATGTTAGTGGCAAAAGCAAAGTAATCAGTTAATCCAACAAAGAACTCTCAGATAATAGAGACAGAAGATGTGGAACACTGCCTTAATGAATAAAATTAGGGCCTGTAAATATCAGTTGGAAGGAATATTCCACCTTTCCACTTATTGTAGTGGTTAAGGCAGACGACAAAATTCAAATAATAATTAAAAAATCACATTTGCCTCCACTGAGAGGTAGGAAACCGAGTAGTGCTAACATGAAAAAATCTGTCCTGGTTTACACCAACTTTGGGTAATTCAGATATCAGCATACAGAGCAGATGTAATCCTATAACATAAGCCCAGTCACTATGGCTTGTGAAGACCCAGGAACCTACACATATCTTCATCTGTCATTTTCTGTTAATAGGCAATCTGATGGAGACATGTAATCTCTTACCTGCTGTTATATATAGTTTCTCCAAAGTCCTTTTATACCATCAGACAAATGAGTTCACTTCCCCCTGCCAGTAGGTGAAGACAGGAAAACAAGCAGTTGGTAACATCACCTCTCCACTTAAGAGGCTTGATATCAAACTACAGTACCAACCAGTAAGCAAGCAGTTCAGTACTGGTTGAAGGAGATCAACTGCAGTGAAATCGGTGAGATATGACCTGTCATATCATTGATACCCATCAAAGGCTAAAAGTTTAAAATGAACACAGTGCCACCGAACACAGCATAGGGAGAAAAAAAATATTTTAGGGTGGTATAAAAAGATTTGGAGAAACTGATTTTGTTTTATAAGAGGAGCTCCTCTTAAGTGCAAGCAGAACAAAGGCACCACTGTTTCTGGTTTATAGTAAGTATACCACTAATACCATCCCAAAGAGAAATAGTTCAGCATCAAAGTTTAATGAATGTATCATTTTTTAAAAAATGAAGGAAGTGAAATGTTCAAAGCTGAAGAGAAAGTAAAGGGGGTACCTGTTAACTCTTCTAGGGCACTTCTCTGGCTTTATATCCAATTCATAATGGTAGATGTCGATTTTTGGAATGTCCATTTCAAAAAAGTTGGCTTGCAGTTTGATTGATCTCCCTGAAGTACCAAAATCAGGTCGAGGGGGGGGTTTAAATGCATATGCCTGTATCGGAGGTGGCATGGGCGGAGGCGTTGCAAGTACTAGAAAGGAGGGAAAGGCACAAACAGTAATGCAAATTCCGTAAATGCAATTCTCTGTAACATATATTCCATTTCCATCTCTATGTCATTCATAGCAAAGTAACAAATAGCAATAAACTAAAGCAGAAGAATAATCAAAGTTATCCAGTGAGTTTTCCTACTCTTTGTAGCAAAAACCACTCTTTCAATACAGCAACATAAATGGCTGCAGTCCAAGTATCATTTTAGCAATCCAAAGTACTTTCTCTTAAAACCAGCTTAGTAACAAGGATTTTAATGCTAGCCAAGAACACACTCTAGTGAGCAGCTGTATAGCACAGCAAAGAGAAAGAATGGTCCACAGCAACCCATCAAAACTGGGTTGCATTGCACTGGCATGTAAGTAAACAGGATTAACTTGACTGAAATGCAGGAATTCTGGTTCTGTTTTTGAATCACATGTCTAGTTATTACTCTGCTCAGTTTTTTTCATTATATCAGTGTGATATACAATACATGCTTAACTCAACAGCTGTAAAACAATGCTATTTATCAAAACACAGATTCAGCATATAGATTTATAATAACCAATCAACAAGAAGGGGAAACATTTAATAGCTTTAATATATTTTACTAAAGAGCACACATGTACTTTTAAATCAGGAAGTCAGGAAATCTAACTGATTTTAAACTGTGCAGGTGAAGAAAGGATCCACTGATGTCACTATAACATCAGGTGATTGACAGGTGGGCGTCTCCACCCATTTGTCAGGCTTGGCCCACAGGAGTTGTGGGAGGGAGGAGATAATGATTTGGCCTACTAGCCTGATCCAGTTCCCCACCCTTTGTCTAACATCTACACAACACCAAAAGCAATCACAACACACAACTGTACTATTAAGTAGTTATTTATTACCATATCCTACTGTGCTTCCTATACAGTGTTTATATTCTCCTGAGTACAGCAGAATACTTCCCTTTCTAGAATAAATAATAGTGGTTTCTTCCTTGAAATAAGTAACTACTAGGTTTTTATTACATCTTTCTCCATCTCCACTATTTTCTAGAACTCACTATGCTTTTGCTTTTGAGTGATCGAAGCCACAGTCATTTGCGACCTCCCCTGGGGCACCCAAGACCACCAGTTCAGTCTGCCAGATCCCTAGCAACCCTTCCCACTCCTCATATGGGGACCAATAGTTCTCATGCCATGGGGACATGCATAGCCTTGGTAACAGGAAAGAGAACTGGCACTGTGCTTTATCTATTTGTCAATCTCAAGCTTTTCTCAAGGAGAGCAAATGGAAAATGTTTTTCAAGACAAAACTACGGAGCATTTGCCCATCGCTACATAAAAGCGCTTTACTTTATTTCTTTTTTGAATCACGTCCCATGAAACACCCTAAAGCGATTAACAACAAAAATGTAGATTTAAAAAAACAACCAAAAAGCTGGATTGTTCCATTAGAATCTTACAACAAAATTAGAGAAAACGTCGTCTAGATGGACAAAAATTTTTGAATGTCATGAGAAAACTCTTGATTTATGCCTGGTACAATCAGTAATTAAGTTTGTAACTGTAACAAATGTTTTGCAAATGAAGCCTGAGTCTTTCAAGTAACAATACCAACTTCAACAGATCTGCTCACACAGAGAGAGGACTTCAAGTGTGTATGATACTACTGATCTCACACACACACACACACACACACACACACACACACAAACACTTTTACCGTACATCCGCAGCCCCCTCTCAAATACATAGCCACTACTTCCTTTTTTGATAATGTGAAAGTATTTTAGTAGGAAGGAGAACCGCCAAGCAAGTCAAATGGAAGTGTGGTCATTTTGGTCCCACTTCACTGGATAAGTCCCAAGATGAATGTATTATGATCAATTATGCTGGCAATATTGTTCAATAATATATATATTATTCCCATTTTAAATTACCAGTGGATGGCGCTTTTAGTGCTGTTAAGAGGAAATAATTGCTCCCTCTCTTGCTCTTGAAACTAGCAATGTAATCTGCTAGCTTTACTACACAAAGAACCTCATTCATATGGATCCTAAATGTGTCAAATGACTAAAATTGCTGTTTTTATTATTAATTTGCTCTTTCGATGGAAAAAAATAGCACGATACACTTTTACATACAATTTAAATAATTCATAATCTTCAGCTGCCATAACTTTATTTCTGTTCACTTCATTCTGCTACTGTAGTTCCATCTGCACTTACATTTTACATTAATTGGTCATTATTTCAGTCATCCTAGCTTCAGCAACTGTACTGTGAAATTAAGGTTTTTATGAAGATAAAAAGTTTTGACAAAATAAAACATATTAAATGTATCTCTGTACATATAAAAGTTCCTCAAAATACACCTCAAATAAGCTGGAGTTACTGTAAAGAAAGGTAAGTTTTAGCTTTCAAAGTTCTTCTGCAGAGTATCATATAGAGTCAGCTCTCTAACATTCTTCTGTTTCAAGCTGATAGACAAAAGTGGAGATATAACGTGAAATGTTCAGTCCAAGATAAGAAGCACTTCCAATATACTGCCAACTTTTAAGACATCCTTAAAGCTGAGTAAAACTGGCTTTGGTAGACCTTGGTGTTCCAAAAATATTAAAATCTGTTGTGCTGTACTTGTAAGACATGACCATTGAAAGTAATATTTAACACGCATGCTTAGATGGCACTGCCAAAGTTCTGAAACGGACTGGAACATTACCACCTAAGTCTCCAAAACCATTTGAACTAAGAGCTATTTGATTTGGGGGTTGAGGGTCGATTCAAAGCAATCCTACACTTACACTGCCACCATGACACCAGCAGAATAGTCATTATAGAGTCAATATGCCACACAAATGCTTTTGAATTATGGTGCTGGAGGAGACTCTTGAGAGTCCCATGGACTGCAAGAAGATCAAACCTATCCATTCTTAAGAAAATCAACCCTGAGTGCTCACGGGAAAGACAGATCCTGAAACTGAGGCTCCAATACTTTGGCCACCTCATGAGAAGAGAAGACTCCCTGGAAAAGACCCTGATGTTGGGAAGGATTGAGGGCACAAAGAGAAGGGGACGACAGAGGACCAGATGGTTGGACAGTGTTCTTGAAGATACCAGCATGTGTTTGACCAAACTGCGGGAGGCAGTGGAAGACAGGAGTGCCTGGCGTGCTCTGGTCCATGGGGTCATGAAGAGTCGGACACAACTAAACGACTAAACAACAACAACATGCCACACAAAGATATTCTCAAGGCATCCCTGGAAACTCTGCCGGTGCCCACCCATCAGGGACAGTGCCCATAAAACTGCTCATAGGCCACAGAGGAAGCTGATGAACTTAGAGCAAAGGAAACAGACCTCCAGCACTGTCTCACCACACTTACAACATTCATGTTGGTGTGGCAACATCCCCCTACTTTATCAGCCCCAGTGGCACAGCCAGCAATGACCCTGCTACTGCCAGCTCCCAGGCACCCCCTTGGCAGTTCAAATCTCTTCATGCTGCTCACAATCACTGTTTTATGAACACAACGAAGGAGAGGAAAGAGAACCCAGACAACACAGCACGTAAAAGACACCTGCCACCATTCCTGACTGTGCCACTGGGGCCAACAGAAGAGAAGAGTAGAGTTTGGATTTGATATCCCACTTTATCACTACCTGAGGTAGTCTCAAAGCGGATAACATTCTCCTTTCCCTTCCTCCCCCCACAACAAACACTCTGTGAGGTGAGTGGAGCTGAGTGACTAGCCCAAGGTCACCCAGCAGCTGCATGTGGAGGAGCGGGGAAGCGAACCCGGTTCACCAGATTACGAGTCTACTGCTCTTGACCACTACAGCACACTGGCTCTCAGTGTGAATGGAGGGGGTGTTGTGGCAACCTCTAGCAATATATCTGCAGCTGAGTCAAATCTGTGTGAAAGGGGCATATTCCTGCTATCATGGGTTCATCAGAATCCTGTACAGGCAGCCCCGACTAGCTCACAGTTCAACAACGCGCTGCAAGTGTTTCTGAAGGCTCCCCCAAAAAAGCTCAACAACTTTGGTCAATCCAATAGGTAGATCACTGCCAGGTTTTGTTGTTTGTTTTTTAGTGGGAGTAGATTGCAGTCTCTTGGGAGTTGGACATGCTTGTTCTACAGCAATCTTAACTCTGAAGGGCTGCTTGCAGTCTGTATACAATACTGAGGTACATGACCTGTCATACAACTTTCTATAAGGCAGCTGACTTGTTTTAAGGCAGTACAAACCACAGGAAAATTAAATATATTGCTTCTGCTCAAAGAAAACTTGCATTACGGAGCCAGGCAAGCTAAAGCTTTCCATATAAGAATATACACAGACAACTAGATGTCAGTGAGAAGAGTTCTAGCCTAGGCTTCTCCCTAATCTGCTACTTTCCCATGGCCTTCTCTATACACATCCCTGCAGCCTGAAGCAATACAGTGTGGCAACAATTTTATTGCCTCCTCTGTTGTATGTGTGAACTAGGCCTAAAATGTCTTAAATTATTCAAGCTTTGTTTTAGCTTCACAGAGAGAAGACGCCAAATAAATCTAAGTGGATCGATCAACAGGAAAATGCTGCAGTCAGATGTCATATTATGTCAACAAGAGCATTCATTGCAACAGCCATTTTTGTTTCTATAAACCAGGGGTGGAAAACCTGTGGCTCTCCAGATGTTTCTGAGAATACAACTCCCATCGTTCCTGACCACTGGTCATGCTGGCTGGGGCTAATTGGGCCTGAGAGTTCAATAACATCTGAAAGCCACATGTTCATCCCCTCTGCTATAAACAAACAATTATGATATCAGACACATGTGTTCAAACTAGCATTTGCCATCCAGAAAAGAATATGGATTGGATTCAAACTAAGTTTAGTTAAACTTCAGTCCTAATGAAATCAGTGGGGCAAATTAGCCATGACATAACTGAAGTCAGTTGAATTCAATAGAGAGTAAGCGGTTGGATCTAGAATTAGTTCCAAAAATGGTACTCAAACTA